AATAGTAGTTTCATATTTCAGAATCCTTTATTTTGAGCTCTTTCCTGCATTGGTCGAGTAGCTATGTGAATATTCTATCAGTGGTCCCTCCATTATGAATTTGAATTTAAGGCTGCTCTTTGTCTTACGTTCCTTATCTTGTTTATCTTCCAACTGCAGGCCCAACCTTCTCGCAGACGGGGAACTGAAGCTAATTTACTTGGCCCAATAACCACACCTGTAGTTGGGATGCTGGCAAAGTTCACCAAGCTCAGAAAGAGGCTTTTACAGGTCCATCTCAAAGCAAAGAGAAGCTCTGCCATCCCCGTATTTCTCCAGTAGCTCAGGATTTAATCCGAGCCAGAGAAGAATTCTCAGCTTCCTCTGTAAAAGGAACAGCCAAATTTGTGCCTTCCAGGTGTTGTTGGATTACAACTTTCATTATTCTTATGCTTGGCAATGCTGGCTGAGGCTGATAAAAGCTGTATAGTCTAACAACTGGAGCAGGGTTCGGCAAAGTATGCATGTGCAAGCGCTATTTCCAGTGCTCCTTTTGGCATGGAGGAAGCGTGCGCAGCTTCCCATTGGCTGCAGAAGCAATCCCAGATGTCCATTGGGGAAAACCTCCACTTTATAGGGAGGTGAGAGATGTAAGAAGTGGTCCACATGGCCTTTTAATGTCGGGATGCCATGAGCCTGCCACACCAGCATAAGGGACTTTGCAGCAGGCACACCAGCAAATGGGACTTTGCTGCTCTTCAGCTCAGCATTCACACTGTACAAGCACTGTTTGCTACCCTGCAAAGGACTCATTATCTCTAATTGGTTTGTTTGAACCTGCAGTGGGAGGCAGCTACAAAATGAACAACTGTCCTTGTGACTATGGCAGATACAATCTGATGGGAATGAATGAAGCCGGGGCTCTTTGCACTCCGAAGCTGGGAGTGGTGCTTTTAATCTTGAGAGCCATTTCCTTAGGAAGGCAGCAGGGCTACTATCTAAGGAAGGCTTGCAGGAGGCAGCTGAAACATTACGTGATCCAGTAATTTAAACTCTCTTAAGGCCATTTCCTAACAGCAGCGGGCCAGAATGCTGTTTGCAAATCCTGTTTTGGACTACAACTCCCATCATCCTAAGACAACATGGTGTGCTGGCAGATGGGATCTGTAGTTCAAAACACCTGGAGGGCAGCAAGTTGGGAAAGGCTGGTCTTAGATAAGAGAAGCGCCCATTCCCGGCAGCTACCTTAAAACTGGTTTTTAATGACAGGGGCCCGTGCTTCTCCAGCGAGTTGTATGTTTAGACGTTTTGGCAGAGAATTCACTACCTTTATAAACTGGTTTGCTGTCACAGAATCCAGAGCAAGCTGTCGTATGCTTTTTTGGGGGTGGGGGTGTTTGGGGAGAATAAATCTCAAAACGTATTTTTGCAAGAGCAGCACCCCCACATCTCTTTGCTGCTTGCAAGGACGGCGCTTCTAGCTGTAGGTAGATGTGGGGAATAGTAGAAACTCCTGACTCTTCAAGCTTGGTCACTTCAGTGCAGTAATTTTCCTTACCCACTTATTTTCCATTGCAGCAACAGTGTCTCTCACAGAGGTGATCATTTGCCAGAATATGCAAGAAGGTTGGATCTTCTAGACCAGCGTTTCCCAAACCTGGGTCTCCAGCTGCTTTTGGACTACAGTTCCCATCTCCCCCCTGACCACTGGTCTTGCTAGCTAGGGATGATGGGAGTTGTAGTCCAAAAGCAGCTGAATTGGGAAACACAGTTCTAGACTAAGTTTCTGCGAAACCAAAGTTCAACTGAGTCTGCATCTAACTCAGCCTTTCTCAACTTTGGGTCCCTAGGTATTGCGGGACTACAATTCCCATCATGCTAAGGGGTTGTAGTTCAAGAACATATGTGAACCCAAAGTTGAGAAAGGCCGAACTCAATGACTAGCTGCAGCACTGGGATATATTCTCTCCCCATCCCCCACCCATTCACATTTCCAAGTCAGTATCAAATTGCTGGGCGCCACCATGCCCAATTTCAAGTGTGCCTGCCCTAAAACATGGAAGGATGAAGCTACCAAGAGCGACTTTTTCCCTGTGGTGTGTTTTGCTCAAAGATACCCAATAATCCAGAGCTTCTGAGTGAAGGTACAGATTTCAGAAGGCAAGTTCCTGCTTACTTCCTACCATGATAATAAGCATTTTGCTGGTGAAAAGGATTCTGGGTTCAAGGCTTTCTTGAAGAAACCTTACGGAATAGCCTTGAGAGACGATCCAAGGGCATGATTAGAAAATAAGGCACACCCCAATGCCACTGAAACTGAGCACCTCTCCTCAGTGCCTGGGCCACCTTGTGACCGCCATCTTGAGCTCCACAATAATAATAATAATTTATTTATTATACCCCGCCCATCCGGCTGAGTTTCCCCAGCCACTCTCGGCGGCTCCCAATCAAGTGTTAAAAACAATACAGCGTTAAATATTAAAAACTTCCCTAAACAGGGCTGCCTTCAGATGTCTTTTAAAGATAGGATAGCTGCTTATTTCCTTCACATCTGAAGGGAGGGTGTTCCACAGGGTGGGCGCCACTACCAAGAAGGCCCCCTGTCTGGTTCCCTGTAACCTCACTTCTCGCAATGAGAGAACCGCCAGAAGGCCCTCGGTGCTGGATCTCAGTGTCCAGGGCTGAACGATGGGGGTGGAGATGCTTCTTCAGGTATACAGGACCGAGGCCGTTTAGGGCTTTAAAGGTCAACACCAACACTTTGATGCAAGAAAGGTGAGACAGAGCCATTGAAGCGTAAGAGAAACCAGGCCAAAGACCGTTGAGATAAATAAGGCCGTTCCACTTGCATCCATCACCAACACAAGCTAGTTGGGGGCAGGACTCGGAGAGCCCACAAAACCAGATTTGGAAAGGGGCTTTAGCCACCAGTGCTTTCAAAAACTGGTCTTTAATACACTTTCATGGAGTCATCCTCTCGATCTCAGCGAGAACGATCCAAAAACAGACCAAGTTAACAGCCCTGACAGTTCTCCTCCTGGACCCGGGGTAGGCGGTGGGAATCCCAACATCCACATTATGTGGTCCACCGAGTTTACCCCAATGAAACCACTGGGTTGCCCCATGGTAAGAGCTAGAGGCAAACAGCTTTATATGGCTTACTCTATGCAGGTGGTGCTGTGGATTAAACCACAGAGCCTAGGACTTGCCGATCAGAAGGTTGGCAGTTCGACGGGTGAGCTCCCGTTGCTTGGTCCCTGCTCCGGCCAACCTAGCAGTTTGAAAGCACATCAAAATGCAAGTAGATAAATAGGTACCGCTCCAGCGGGAAGGTAAATGGCGTTTCCGTGCGCTGCTCTGGTTCGCCAGAAGCGGCTTAGTCATGCTGGCCACATGACCCGAAAGCTGTACGCCGGCTCCCTCGGCCAGTAAAGCGAGATGAGCATCGCAACCCCAGAGTCGGCCACGACTGGACCTAATGGTCAGGGGTCTCTTTACCTTTATAGCGTAGCTATTGTTGGGGGTGGGCGTGGAAGGCATTCACGTTGGAAGCATCTCAATGAAGCTCAATCTTCACGCTGTTTTTATACAAAAAAATTTAATAAATATTTTTTCAAGATTTATTGCCAGGAATAAACACATCAGAGATGTATTTTCATGTCCGTGTAACACTAATATTACCATACAAGATATCCTCGTGATCCCGGTGGTTTACCCAGCGAGATTACTCAGTTTTAAGCCTTTTTTGTTGTCGTTTTTTTGCAATTTTGATTTTTTGATCTTCCAACTTTTTGTAATAGCACTTTGATTTCCTCACTCCTTAAGGCGGGCAGTGTAATCTATGGCAAATCTACACAGTGATCTTAACTGGACACTCTACTGTTCAAGTATTCAACAACTAGCTTATCGGAATACTTTCTACATGCAGTAGATTACAAAGAAAAGAAGTTTTTTTAAAAAAAACCTACAAGTGGTTCAGCACCACCTATCTGTGCTGGTGGGTGGGGGTGGGGGAAATCAAGAGTTTACAAAATAAGATTTCGGTGTTTCCAACTCCACACGCTAATTCGATTTTTTCTTTTCTTTAATTACATGCAACCGGTCACACGTTCATCTACAGAAGGTTATCGCTCAGTTGTGTTCCCTTAAACTGCTTCACGGCAGATGATCTGCCTAGCCTCCTCTTTCCCCCTCCCTCCTCCCCCATGCCCCAACTTCTAAAGCAGCCAGGAGGGGGGGAAATAAAATAAAATTCTAATCTAATTCTAAACTGCCTCAGCTGGTATTTAAACAAATATTCTTAAAGTGATACTATCAAAGGTGTTCTCAAAGAATAAAGACAAAACGCGCACTCAACATCGTACAGAAAGCCAGTTTCAAGGCCCCAAAAGCCTTCTCTATCCTTTAAAAACAAACTGATTTTCAGAACACCTTAAATTTTGGCATGTAGGCAAACATGTAACAAAGGGGTGGGGGGTAGAATAAAAAGATTTTTAAAAAGATAAAGAAGCCATAAGCTTACAAATGCTATGGGGGTGGGAAAAACACCTTCAACTCTAAACACATACATATAAATAAAAAAAAAGGAATGATATTTAAGGCTCTTGATTATTAAGTTAATAAATCAAATATACACAGTGATTAATAAAAAAAGGAATTATTTACATAACTATACAAACTTCTACTTTTGACACATTTCCTCTCAATTCTTCATTTTTTTTTACCAGCAACTGCTGACAAGAAGTCCCCCCCCAATCCCTCCCCACTTGCCCTCCCCACAAAAAAATACAATTAAAAAAAATAAATAATAAACTTTTTTACTTTTTTTTTCCTCGATAGTTGCTGTGGTTCCGAGCTGCAAAGGCACTTTCAAATACAGAACTAGTTGTACGTCATCATAAAACCAATATACAAAAGAACTCTAATTTCAATAAATAAATAAAATTTATCTCCTTCCCTCCCCACAGGGACTGTATAAATTGTGACATAGAGAGAGAGAGAGAGAGAGAGAGAGAGAAGGAGGAAGGAAGGAAGGAAGGAAGGAAGGAAGGAAGGGAAAGAGAGAGAGGAAGGAAGGAAGGAAGGAAGGAATTCTTTGCTAGGGGAGGGAAGGCTAAATAATAAAAGGCTACATGATACCTTGATGAAACCTTGCCAGGAGATGCATCAGCGGCGGCTGAATTGACGGGGGGGGGGGGCACTTTCGACTAGTTTTGCATAGATGTGGAATGCAGCGCTTGGTATTCCAGCCAACCACAGCAACTATCACTGCCAGTGTAAGCCAGCTTGTCAAAACTTAAATTAACACAGGGATTCTAAGCAAATAATAGCCTTAGACTCAAAATATTACACAACCGCTTTGAGAACTACAAGCTCCGCGTTGACTCCAACAGGTAAGTATGGAGGAGGAGGCGGCGCCCGGCTGCCTGCTATACAATGTACTCCATGCGGTTCAAGCTCTGTGCGCTTTCCAAGTCCCGGTTGTCCTGCTTGTTTGTCCAGTTCGGGTGCTTTGCGGGCGTGCCGTTGGGGGGCTTTTCGTCTCTGTCGACCAGCGTGTAGGTCGCCTGCTTGGCGAAGCGGCTCTTCTGCTGGTGCTTGTCCATGTCGTCTTCCTCCACCTCGGAGTTGTGTGTCCTTATTTTGGCAATCTTGGAGTTCTTGTTTTCGTAGTCCTTGATGGGGATGGCGTTGGCGCCGTGCTTCTCAATGGGGTTCTTGATCTGGTTCAGCTGCTCCCGGACGTTGTTGGTGGTGTTGTCGTCCGACGGCGTGTGCGTGTGCGCACTCTGCTTCCGGCGCTTGCGGATGCACCAGTAGAAGGCCGTGACCAGACAGCAGACCCAAGCCACGGTCAGAACGGAGCTCAGCAACGGGACCAAGAAATCTGGAAGGCAAGAAGAAGAAGAGTTTAGATTTGATATCCCGCTTTGTCACTACCCAAAGGAGTCTCAAAGAGGCTAACATTCTCCTTTCCCTTCCTCCCCCACAGCAAACACTCTGTGAGGCGAGTGGGGCTGATACACTTCAAAGAAGTGTGACCTGGCCCAAGGTCACCCAGCAGCTGCATGTGGAGGAGCGGGGAAGCGAACCTGGTTCCCCAGATTACGAGTCTACCACTCTTAATCACTACACCACGCTGGCAAGGGTGACTCTCGTCAACAAACCCACCAACACTACTCGGCGCAGACAGCTCAGCGGTAGAGCATCTTCTTTGTGTGCAGAAGGTCCCAGATAATGATAATAATAATATAAAGGGTTTTTAAAAAGGAAAGGATCCCTGGATGGTTACGTCCAGTCAAAGGCGACTATGGGGTTGCGGTGCTCATATCGCTTTCAGGCTGAGGGAGCCAGCGTTTGTCCACAGACAGATTTCCAGGTCATGTGGCCAGCAGAACTAAACCGCTTCTGGCGCAACAAAACACCGTGACGGAAGCCAGAGCGCATCAAAACACTGTTTACCTTCCCACCGCAGCGGTACCTATTTATCTACTTGCACTGGTGTGCTTTCGAACTGCTAGATTGGCAGGAGCTGGGACAGAGAAATGGGAGCTCACTCCCGTCGTGGGGATTCGAACCGCCGACCTTCTGATTGGCAAGCCCAAGAGGCTTGAGTGCTTTAGACCACAGTGCCACCTGCATCCCTACAATAATAGTAAAATTTTACCTAATAATATTTACATGCTGCCCATCTGACTGGGTAGCTCCAACTACTCTGGGCGGCTCTCAACAGAACCATATAGCACTGGTTCTGGAAGACCTACATTGGCTCCCAGTAAGTTTCTGAGCACAATTCAAAGTGTTGGTGCTGAGCTTTAAAGCCCTAAATGGCCTGTGCCCCATATACCTGAAGGAGAATCTCCACCCCCATCATTCAGCCTGGACGCTGAGATCCAGCACTGAGGACCTTCTGGCGGTTTCCTGCCTGCGAGAAGTGAAGCTACTGGGAACCAGGCAGGGGGCCTTCTCAGCAGTGGCACCTGCCCTGTGGAACGCCCTCCCATCAGATGTCAAGATGAGTAACTATATAACCTTTAGAACAGTGTTTCCCAACCGGTGTTCCGCGGCACACTAGTGTGCCGCGAGGCGTTGCCTGGTGTGCCGTGGGAGGGAGGTGGGCGAGGCGGGCGGCGAGAGGCGAGGATCCGCGTCGAGCCGGGGGCGGCTCCGCGGTGGTGGTGCCGAGGTTTCTCTCTCCATTCTCCCCTCTCTCACACACACACAGGAAATAACACAGGATCAGCTGACAGGACCCGGCCAATGGGGCGGCGGCGGGGCAGCGCGCAAAAGGGAGGAGCGCGAGACAGCGGACGAGGAGGAGGCCGGCATGTCCGGGCAGCAGCAGCAACAACAGCAGCAGCAACTCCCGGCGACGGCTCCTCAAGCCCCGGGCAACCCTACTCCCTCACCGGCCTCGGCCGCCCTCCTGCTCCACCCGCCGCCGCCTCCCCCGCCGCCGGCGGCCACCTCGGCCCCGCCGCCGCCCCCTCCTCCGCCCGCTATCGCCGCCACCACCACAACAGCCGCCGCCGCCTCAGCTGGGCCCATGCCTGACGGGAGCGGCGGCGGCAGCAGCAGCAGCAGCGCCCCGGCGCCCTTCCCTCCCGGCGTGACGCTGCGCGCTGACGTCACGGGGCTGTAATGGTGGTGTGCCTCAAGATTTTTTTCATCAAACAAGTGTGCCTTTGCCCAAAAAAGGTTGGGAAACACTGCTTTAGAAGACATCTGAAGGCAGCCCTGTATAGGGAAGCTTTTTCATGTTTATTGTTCTTGCTTTAAAAACACAATAAAGCATCAAACGTCAGTTCAAGCCATTCATTAAAGCTCAAATGAGCACTATCCAGTATTTGGAGGTTGTGTCTAGCAATGAATAAAAGTTATTTTACGGCAAACTTGAGATATGTTAGAATTTGTGCCGAAAAGCAAACTTGCATAAGAATAAGCCCTGCCGGGAAGTCTGGAAACAGGCTATGAGTGAAACGGCTTCCTATACACTTGCAATTTCCATTCCTACTGCCAGCCCTCAACCAACACATTTTAAAAGAATTTACCTGTTTTGCTTTTAATTGGTCGCCTCTGTACCCGGACTTCTGCAACCGCTGCAATAAGCGTGCTATTCCCATCACGCTTGCTCACCAGATCAATAATTTTGTCTGTTATTTCTTTTATCGGGTTCTCTTCCTCCTGGATATCTTCGGCAGACTACGAGAAAGAATAAGATTGTGTATTAGAGACAATGTGAAGAAGAATCTCTAACCCAATGCTCACAAGAGGACCAAACAAACATGGAGACTCTGGTCTAACATCAAAATATGGGGAAGACTGGCTTCTATAAGTACAGGACATGCATCAAGTTATTACCCAATGCCAATGTCAATCCAGTGAATTGTGCAGAACGCCAACCCTTTCAAAATATCCTTTGGGAGGGAAGCTAGACTCTAGAACCCTCCAATAGGCTTGCCTGGGGATTAAAATCAGCGTAGGCTGTCTTGTTCTTAGTGCTATCTTGGAAGGTTTGATGAGTGAGCACAAGACAGGATCTTCATTGTGGTGGTGCTATGTTCCTGGAGTAAGGTAAAGGTAAAGGTACCCCTGCCCGTACGGGCCAGTCTTGCCAGACTCTGGGGTTGTGCGCCCATCTCACTTAAGAGGCCAGGGGCCGGCGCTGTCCGGAGACACTTCCGGGTCACGTGGCCAGCGTGACAAAGCTGCATCTGGCGAGCCAGCGCAGCACACGGAAACGCCGTTTACCTTCCCGCCAGTAAGCGGTCCCTATTTATCTACTTGCACCCAGGGGTGCTTTCGAACTGCTAGGTTGGCAGGCGCTGGGACCGAGCAACGGGAGCGCACCCCGCCGCGGGGATTCGAACCGCCGACCTTTCGATCGGCAAGCCCTAGGCGCTGAGGCTTTTACCCACAGCGCCACCCGCATCCCTGGTTGTTCCTGGAGTAATCCCCCTCAAATTCTTCAGGTTCTGATGGCACATTCATCTTGATGGCTGAGGACCACAATGCGGTCTCTTTCCATATGAACCTACCCTGACATCACCTTCTGAGGCCCTTCTTTGTGCGCCTCCTCCATGGGGGGTCCAGAGGGTGGCAGCACGAGAACAGGGCCTTTTCTGCAATGGCTCCCCATTTGTGGAATGCTTTCTCCAGGGAGGTTTGCTTGGTCCCTTCATTATACACCTTTAGGCACCAGGCAAAAACATTCCTCTTTATCCAGACTTTTGGCTGACTGACATCTAATATGCTTTTAAAATGTTTTTTTTGGGGGGGCAGATTATTGAGTTGTCCTTGGTTTTTGTGTGTGTGTTTTTATACTGTGATTTTATGTTGTGAACCGCCTTAGATCTGCAGGTATAGGGCGGTACACAAATGTAATTAATAATAACAATTCACTTCCACAATCTTCCAAATGTGTTAACATCCAAGATTCACTGTTGCTCATTTTAATGCACAACAGCTTGCTGCCACTAGCTTTGTCTGTACGTGTCGGTTGTATTTTGTCATTGCTTTCAGAATCTGAATTGTTGCATTTGCCGTTTTATTGTTTATATCACGTGTATTTATGTCTATGGGCGATATCCAATTAGATCGTAGTTAAACAGAGAACCCACTCTTTCCTACTGAGAGCAATGAGTCTTAACGTTTAGAGAGATGAGTCAGGCATACCAACCATCAGACTTACAATCGCAACGTGGATTTCATCGTGTGCCAAGTGCGACGGTTCACACGTGATGTAGATGGAGTATTCGACGGACACATTCTTCAAGATACTTAGATTCCTCAGCTCGTTACAGATATGCTCAGTTGTAAGGCCCTGTGGGAAAAGAGCAAACACAGAACATGAGTACTTTTGATAGAAGAGGACACATGGCAAGAACATAAATCAATGGCACTTCTCTCGTTGCCATTTGCGCCTGGCTACAACTCCACAGAGAAAGTTGCCTCTTAGGTCAAGAGCGGGGAACTCAAAGTCCCATCCGTCCCAGGCAACGTGGCCAATGGTCAGCGATGATGAGAATTGGGTCCTTCCAAAGGTTGTTCAACTACCAAGTTCCCCATCCCTGATCTACATTATAGCAGAAGCCATAATATCCACAATTGCCAATTGGGTCACTGGGAATACAGGTCATTGCCCAGGGAAGGTCCATTGCTCAATGGTAGAACACATGTTTTGCATTTAGAAGGTCGCTGGTTCAGTTCCTGGCATTTCCAGGTAGAGACATTCCCCCGAAATTTAAAATCCTGGAGATCTGCTGACGGTGACTCTGCATATGGCGTCATCCAAGTGTGGACTCCATAGGGAACTTCAGACTGATCTCAACTCCCTGATGAGTACACCTGGATGGGACATGTTTTTAGCATCCATACTTTTCTAAATGCACGCTTTTATAACATGTCAAATGTGAAATGGCCCCCAGGTAGCTAGTTAGGCTTGGCTTTGGGAAAGCCAACTTTAATCCCTTGCTTTATAAATGCCCCATTAGATTAAGTTCTGGTTAACTACAATAACAAAACCTGAGGGGCGAAGGAACTTCAGGACTCAGGGCCGAATGAGGCCCATCGAGGCCTTGAGACTTTCCCCAGGATGCATATCCCATACTGGCCTCGTTCCACACTCTCCTCAAGTGCTTTTGCCCGGCTGAAATATATCACTGATCTATGACAGTGCCTCTTGCTCCCCTGGGTTTAGAGTGAGAGTGGCCTTCCAACTTTCCCGTGGTTCAAATGTAAACCTGATGTCCAAAGCTAAGAGTCACATCTGCTGCTACTCCCACTTTTCTACCTCTGGTCCTCCCCATGGAGCATCCTAGAAGGTTGTATATAGGTTGTATTTCCTTGACATCTGATGGGAAGGGCGTTCCACAGGGCGGGCACCACTACCGAGAAGGCCCTCTGCCTGGTTCCCTGTAACCTCATTTCTCACAGGGAGGGAACCATCAGAAGGCCCTTGGAGGTGGACCTCAGTGTCTAGGCTGAATGATGGGGGTGGAGACACTCATTCAGGTATATTTGGCCGAGGCCATTTAGGGCTTTAAGGTCAGCACCAACACTTTGAATTGTGCTCGGAAACGTACTGGTCTTTTAGGACCAGTGATATATGGTCCTGGCGGCCACTCCCAGTCACCAGACTAGCTGCCGCATTCTGGATTAGTTGTAGTTTCCGGGTCACCTTCAAAGGTAGCCCCACGTAGAGCGCGTTGCAGTAGTCCAAGCGGGAGATAACTAGAGCATGCACCACTCTGCCGAGACAGTCCGCGGGCAGGTAGGGTCTCAGCCTGCGTACCAGAAGGAGCTGGTAGACAGCCACCCAGTCAGCTTATACTTTGGAATTGCTTGCAAAGGCATTTGCGTAGCTGCTCTTTTCGAGACCAACTTACTGGAGTCATCATCTTTTTATTGAAAGTGAAAGTGATGTTGGCACAGTTGTCCTGATAGTAAGCATCGGAGTTGCACGTGCTTTTCACGGGCTGCTGATTGGAAGGCCAGCATTCGCCTATGTTGTCGCAGGGACCTACGAAGCAGTGGTCCTCTTTGACAGGGTGGCAGGTATGGCCTGTGGGACACTCGCTGTGACCTTTGGCGCTTATCAAGCAAGGCTTCGGACCACACCAGACCTAGAACGGAAAAGACAATTCAGTTGGCAGCCGGACACTTGGAACGCATGGAAAAGGAGGCAGGCCGAGGCAGCTAGGAGTCCCAGGACAGTACCTTAGAGCATGTGACTTTTCCGTTCACACACTGACAGCTGTTACACTCATCATCCCATTTAGTTCCATCTGGAATAATGTGCCCACTGCCGATGCAAGGCCTTCCTGAAACTGAGAGGGAAAGCGGTTCAGGGATTGACTCACAGAGATGCCTTTGACTCAACATTTTATGAATTATGAGATACTTTAAATAAAGGAACCCGAGTATTGGGTTTGATTTTTTAACAGATGTGTACATATGTATATTTTTTTTCCAACAAGCTGCTTTTTTTGGTATTTCTATTATTAATAATAATAATATTTTATTCTGACAACATAATAATCTTTTATTATTAAATAAAAACGTGCACCCCGCCACCAAGACCATTCCATCGTAACTATCCAACCTCCCAAAATTTCAATGCCTCTTGCGATGGTTTGACTCCTTTTCGTTTTAACAGTACAAATTCTGCAAACATATCTCCTCAAAATCATTTCTCCTGCATATTCCCCATCTTACCTTAATGGCACATGTTAATTTATCATTAATAGGTATATCCCACATCTCTTTATACTATTCTTCCATTTTATATTCTGCTTCCCCTTCTACTTCCAAGCTATAACTCGCACAGCTGTCAATAAATTTGTGAGCAAGTCCTTGAAAGCCAGTGTACCTTCCACCCCATCATAAATTAATAACAATGCTATCGTTGGACTTTTGGTCAGCTTGAACCCGGTGATTTCTGTTATCTCCTTAAACACACTTTGCCAGAATTTTTTTTTACATATTTACACTCCCACCACATGTGAATGTAAGTCCCGGTTTCCTGGCATCCCCTCCAACATAACACCGAATTCTCTGTCTTAGGGGTGGTCCTCCAAATGATATTGGGACTCGAAAATCCCATCAGCACCAACTTTCAGGATGGATGATGGTTAGGGATGATGGGAGTTGTGGTCCACCAAACATCTGGCGGGTCACAGGCTCCCCACCACAGCTTTCGCACCAGCACAGGTAGACATTCTGGAATTGTTTGCTCATCCATATTAACTACTGGGAAGGAAAGGAGGTTTGTTTTACTTTACAAGCGACAAACTACTATATATATATCCAATACCTTCTTGGCATCTGGGGCCAATGCGGCCTGCTGGGCAGATACAACGGTACCCGTTGATTTCATCGACACATGTTGCTCCAAAAGCACAGGGCGAGGACTGGCATTCGTTGATATCTGGTAAGGCGGGGGGGGGGGAGAGAAGATTAGTAGGAATAACGATGGTGTAATTAATGAATGTGGGCTACATAGATCAACCCTCCACCCACCCAAATGAAGACTTGTAAAGCTGCGAACCTTGCTTAAAATTTTAAAGAAGATTTTAAAGGAAAATTAGGACACAAGTAGTTACTTAATAGTTTTCAGTAAAGCTCATATGCTAACCTACAAAGCTGCCTTTTACAATACCAGGGCTAGCTCTCTGGGGTTTCTTGCCAAACATCTTCTGACTCTAGCCAAGTGCGCATTTTGCACATTTGCAACTAAGTGAATATGCCCGGGCACCAGGATGGCACCTGATATTTCCACCATCTGGAGGTGCATGCCAGGAAATCCTCAGATGTTGACTTTTCCCACACACTAGCAAGACATCCTGTAGAATTCTACCAGTTATATTTTATCTGCACAACGGGAATGAATTTCAGGAACCAAAAGGCTTTTTCTGTGCAGCCAGAGCAGGAGCAGCGAACAACGTTAGTCGCTTGTTGTTGCTTATCTTCGCTTATCCCCTTCCCACTGACCTGCTCATAGGTTGTGAGGAATATTCCTATGTTATAAATGGTCACCATTCAGAAAAAGAGGCAGGAATAGGCCAATATATATGTAGACTGTCCCTGGATCAGGTGAGAACTTAAAGAAGTTCTCAAAGTTCTTAATCTAGCTCAGTGTTTCTCAACCTGTGGGTCCCCAGATGTTGTTGGACTACAACTCCCATCATGTCTAGCCAGCATGACCAGTGGTCAGGGATGATGGGAGTTGTAGTCCAACAACATCTGGGGACCCACAGGTTGAGAACCACTGAAGGTTGTCATCTGAACTAGCCAGATGTGTAACTGATCGATCAATCACAGCCAGTCCATCATTTGAAAAATAAGACTTTAGACAGAGCCACCTTGCCCCCAAAATGGCAACCAGATAATTTCACTTTGGCGACTGCAACCTTGGTTTAAGGAGCTATTTGGAGTCTAGCTTATATATCTGAGTTTCTAACACTGCTAGAGAAGCTAAGGGGGTTGATTCCAGGACCTGGGACCTGCCAGGCATTTTCTCCACTCAACAAAAATGCCCTTCCAACGTGGCCTCCATGTCCCATTTGCATTATTGGCATAAACTATTTCTTGTTTTCTTGTGGGACTTTTGCACTTCTCTTTAAATCCTGAGCTGGCCTCTTGCTTTTAACACGTACACAACTTCTAGTTCTGCAGGCAAAAAAAAAAACCCCTCTGCTACTAATTTAGGAAACATTTTTATTGGGCAGAATTCCTCATCACAGGAGCTCTGAAAGGGCCCAGTCTAAGGAGGGGTCAGCAAACTTTTTCACTGTCCCTCAAACCTTGTGGGGAGCCGGACTATATTTTGGGGAAAAATAAGAAATGAATGAATTCCTATGCCCTACAAATAACCCAGAGATGCATTTTAAATAAAAGGGCACATTCTACTCATGTAAAAACACGCTGATTCCTGGACTGTTCGCGGGCCAGATTTAGAAGGCGATTGGGCCAGATCCGGCCCCTGGGCCTTAGTTTGCCTACCCATGCTCTTCTTGACACTTGAGGTTTCCAATTCACAGATTGCTAGCGGTCACCAGAACCCGCGGGACTCTGGGCAAGTTAGAACCAACTTACTCTACGGTTTTTCAGGAGACTTTTAGCATGACTCATTTTCTCCTGTAAACAGGGGCACAAATCTCTCAGGGACATTATATTTGATTAAAGGAACTGCCACTGGAGTCTCTTGCCAAGCGACACAGAAAGAGCCATATGTGCAAACCGCAATTTAGCAAAAACAACAACATATATTGCACCTCCTGTTCTAATGTAACTTTAGGCCAAAGTTAAGAGCTGAAGGATTGCAAACACATACTTATCCTGCAGTCGGGACCTGCAAAGCCTGGAGCGCATTCACAACGGTACCAGTTGTCTCCATCCACACACGTCCCACTATTATAGCTGTTTGGGGAAAACGAGAAAGAACTTTGCTTAGCCGACGCTTTCTCACTTTCACAAATGCATGTTCTTTAAGCCCTTTAGCAAAAAGCAGCTTACACAATTGTAACTTAAGCAACACCGGCCCGTTTTGATTTTAAAGTAGGAGAGAATACTGTTGCACAAATGGGACCTGCGACAAAATGTTGCAGCATGGACTGCTTCTGTATTTAAGCTTCTGGCCACTCCAGTCCTTTCCTCCCACCTGGTTCCCCTATCCAAGAGGTCCCCTATTCTGGGTCCAATGAAAATGATCAGTGTCCACTGGGGATGTTTCTGGGGTGCTGGGGGTGGGAGTAGACACACTGAGGCCAAATCCCAGCTCCATTAAAATCATGGATTCCCCCATTTATTTCTATGGGCAGCCTTCAACTTCCATCCTTTAGATCATTTAAAAGCAGCTTTTAAAGAGTTCTTATCGCAGCTAAATGGAAGAGTAATGAAATTCCCTCTATACAAGATTGGATCCAAAAGCTGGCAGAATATGATATTGAAATATGGAATAGACGGGAGGTTGGGCCTTTAGTGTTAAGACCAATTTTTGTTTTATTGTTTGTTAACACCTCCACCCCGGTTTCCACCCAGAGGTCCCTCAAGGCAAAATCAGAAGGGGTCTTTTGAAGGAAAGTTGTTCAGGGTGGGCATATGCAAATAAAAGTACAATTCATTCCCAGGCCCATCTGCTTACCATGGATGCGGACTGCAATCGTTGGTATCTGTAAAGAGATAAGAGACAAAGATGCACAATTAGCACTCTGGATTTCTACAGGCAGTGCTTTTTTTCTTTAAAAAAAAGTTTACTCTTATTTTCCTACTCGTATTAAAATACTGCCCCTCAATGAGGCCAAACAGAGTCACAAAATGTTTAGGGGTATGCGTCCGCCCCCCCCCCCCGGAAAAAAAGCACTGTCTACAGGTTTGAACTAAATTGCTAAAACACACACACTAAACAAATGCACATAGGATTCTTTGCAAAGTGTTGTCAGGAAGAAACACCAACAGATTCAAAAGTGGCCAGGCTGCTGCAACCAAGGAACAGATGAGAACGAATCAGAGTTAATGTTTTTTTCCAGGGTGGTGGGTGGGTTGAAGGGAAGCGGCAGTGTGAACATGAAAACATCTGTCTCCACTTATCTCATTTGCAACTTTCTCAGGCCCAGGTCAAAGCTCCAGTCCCACAATGTCATTAAAGCCCAATGATTCAGGTGATGCGAACGCCCCACATCAAACAGCTTCCCCCTTCTGGTTTTAATCTCAAATCCCCAAGGGCAACGAGATGAGCCAGTTTTCTCATTGTCAGCCACCGCCACTTCAGAAAGAGTTTGGGTATATGAGAGAGAGAGAAAAGGGAGAAAGCGCTTACTCTGAGTGCAAGTCGGTCCTTCCCAGCCCTCTTTGCACACACATGTGAAGGAATCTCCACTGACAACACAAGTCCCGCCATTATGACAAGGGTTTGGGAGGCAGCTGCTGTTCTTTGCTGGAAAAAGAAGAGGCAAAACAGAGTTTCTGGCAAAGTTCTTAAAAATGGGACAGGGTTTTAAATCAGGGGTGCCGAACCTCTGGCCCTCTGAATGTGAACTGCCCTGAGATGTACGGAGGAAGGCTGGTGTAATTAATAAATAATAATGATAATAATAATAATAGATTTAGATAGATATATCTTTATTGTCATTGTCCCATGCAGGACAATGAAATTGCAATAATAATAATAATAATAATAATAACAATAATAATAATAATAATAATAATTTATTTATACCCCGCCCATCTGGCTGGGTTTTCCCAGCCACTCTGGGCGGCTTCCAACAAAACATCAAAAATACAGTAAAATATCAGACATTAAAAACTTCCCTAAACATGGCTCCCTTCAGATGTCTTCAAAAAGTCAGATTGTTGTTTATTTCCTTGACATCTGAAGGGACGGCGTTCCACAGGGCGGGCGCCACCACCGAGAAGGCCCTCTGCCTGGTTCCCTGTAACCTCACTGCTCGCAGTGAGGGAACCGCCAGAAGGCCCTCAGAGCTGGACTTCAGCATCTGGGCCAAACGATGGGGGTGGAGACGCTCCTTCAGGTATACTGGGCCGAGGCCGTGTACAAATGTTACAAAGATATAATGCTGCTGAACTCCCGACACCCTGCTAGTACGGCCACTGGTCAGCCAGGACAGAGAATGGGAGTCCAGTCATATCCAGAGGACCGCAGGTCCCCCTACCCATCAAAATATATTATGATGAGCAGAGCCCATGACCATTTACTAACCGATGTTGCAGGTGGCGCCTTCCCATCCTGCAGGAACACATGCACTTGAAGGCATCTCCCTCGTCATAGCAGGTCCCTCCGTTGTTGCATGTGGCTTCGTCACACTGACTGTCGCCTGCAGGCGTTCAAATGGAAAAGCAGGGTTAGTTAGAAGCGAACATGCTCCCCCTCAAGCCGTATGTGGAACGGGCTCAGGACAGGCTCTCCAGGAAATCCTTGCAGAAACAGCTCACCCATTTCCCTGAGAGTTATTGCACCCCACCTTCCAGCTCATGGTCTTATATATATAACTTTTATTAAATTTTCTGTTTTACCATTTAAAGTACTCATTTTCACATCCTTAAGATATCAGTAACTTCCCTCTTCTCTCTCCATGGTTCATTTTACATATCATAAATCCCTGCATATTTTACAGAAACTTTACCATTCAGTATTCCATTATTACATCCATCAAAACTTATTTACACTGTTGAAGTTATCTTCATGTTACCAGCGTTTTCAGCTGTACACAATTATTTTCCCTATATTCAATAAACGTTTTCCAATCTTCTCTAAACGTATGTTCTTGCTCTCTTATTCTATATGTTAAGTCTGCAAGTTGTGCATATTCTGTCAACTTAAGTTGCCATTCTTCATTGGTTGAGACCTTGCTCGTTTTCCATTTTTGGGCTAACAAAACACAGGCCACAGTTGTTGCATACATAAATAGCCTTTTTTGACCCCTGGGAATTTCAGTCTGAATTATCCCCAACAGAAAGGACTCTGGATTTTTTGGGAAAGTACTTTTGAACATCCCCCCCCCCATTCATTATGTACCATTTCCCAATACTCTTTTACCCTTTCCAGCTCATGGTCTTAGAACATGATTGCCAACCGTACTACATGCACGTGCATTCAAGAATTGGTTCTTGGGAACGGCAGTTTGATTGACAGGAGGCACAGAGACCTTGAGCTTTGACATTCCCCCAGTTTATCTGTCCATGTTTGGCACCCAGGAAATAAAGAGATTAATCTTAAAGAAGAACTTTGGCATGTGTGCCTATAACGCATCTAGTTTCGAGCTCCTGATCTGATCCTTTAAAAAAAAACAAAACTCAATGTACTTTGGGGGACGGGAAAAATGACACTTCGTTGCACAACGCAGCCAGCCACGAACCACGGCTTGCTGTAAACAATGACTCCGGCTTCGCTCCCCTGCCCGGCGCAAGGAAACAAACCACAAAGCTTGGCTCCTCGCGATGTCCCAAACCCAAGATTGTGGTTTGCTTCTCCCCAACGAAGCACAATCGCCGAGCCAAGTACAAATCTTGGCTTGCTGATCGCAATTTGTTTATGGGGAAGGGGGAAAAACAAAACCACAATCTCAGGTTCTGACATCAAGGTAAGCCGAGTGTTGTGGTTTGTTGTTCCCGTTAGGGGAGGAGTGAGAGACGGGAGCGAGTGGAGAGGCTGCCTTTTCACCGTGAGCCAGTTTACGGTGCACGGCAACGATCGGCCAATGAGGCTATTATAATAAGCCGGCCCCATTCATAGACCAAACTAGGCACCACCGAACTTTAGTGGTGGCACCGATCTAGGGTATCTCCCAAAAAAACACTCACGCGAGTGGCAGGTTTTCCCTTTCCAGCCATTTTTGCACTCGCAGAAGAAATCGTTCACCAAGTCTCGGCAAGTTCCTCCGTTGTGGCAGGGGTTTTTGCTGCAGTCGTTGATATCTGGAAGGAAGAGGAGGGAGTTAAAGAGAGAAAAAGAAGCGTTGTGGCAAAGGAGCTTGCTTTTATCCTCAGGCATGTCGCAGCCCTCCTTTTGGCCTCCCATCCCAAAGTCTGGATTAAGCGCCTTAATGCCACCGCTGACGTTATCATGTTTATTCTGCACCATACCCCACCGCTCACTTTCAACTTCCCTTGCCAACACACACCACTCTGGCTCCCTCGGAACAAATATAACAGTTAAGCTGAAAGCAAATGAGGCCTTATTACATAATGATTCTGTGTCAAGGCCAAAGGCTAGCAGTTCAGCCCCTCCTCTGCCTTCCCAAAGCAGCGGAGAGGAAAAGGGAGATATTTCAGAGATGGGAAACTCTGTGTTTGGATTAGGAGCTAGTCATCATCTCAAAACTAAATGACAGCAAGAGAAACCCTTACAGTAAAGGTTTCTACTGACAGAAGCCTCATAAACTAGGGCTGGGGGACGTTTGGACTCAAGAAATTGTTGGACTACAACACCCATCGTCCTCAACCACTGCCCACGCTGGCTGGGGCTGATGGGAATTGGAGTCTCAACATCTCGAAGGCACAAAGTTGGGGGAGGCTGTTCTATGATGCCAAGATAGGAGCAATGAGATGTTCTGTCTTTATAGAGGAGAGTACATGGAGATTGGATATAAAACTTTCAAGCCCTTTATTCATCAGTACTCAGGTTGGCAAAAGGACCACTCCAGTTTAAGTGACCCATTCCCTTCTGAATTCAAATTACTGGCAGCCAAGGTTTCATCACATGTGTCGTCCCTAAACGTATATCTTTTTTTATCTTTTCAAAACTTCTCTGGTTTTAACAAGGCAAAAATATAGTTTAAGCAACTCCAGAGTCACTTAACTCCAGAGTCAAAGGAGCCAGCCGGTTCATTTAAGTAGTTCAAATGGCTCCATGAACCGTGGCAAGGAAAGCATCTTGTGCCAAGCACGTTACACACAAGCAAACCGGCAACCCACAAAACATTTAGTCGAGTCGAAAAAGGAATCTGACATACAGAAACTTTCTTCCGCTTGGGGAGCAATTTAGATCAGAACAGCAGCTGTTTAGATTTTTACTAAAAAAAAAGTGTGGTTTGCCAATTCTAAGATGAGTTTGTGCATCACCACTGGAATACAGGTAAAATTAAAAGGTAAAGGACCCCTAGATGGTTAAGTCCAGTCAAAGGCGACTATGGGGTTGCGGCGCTCATCTCAATTTTGGGCTGAAGGAGCCGGCGTTTGTCCACAGACAGCTTTCTGGCTAGCATGAGTAAACCACTTCTGGCGCAACCAAACACCGTGATGGAAACCAGAGCGCACGGTTTACCTTCTCGCTACAGCCGTACCTATTTATCTACTTGCACTGGCGTGCCTTCGAATTGCTAGGTTGTGGCAGGAGCTGGGACAGAGCAACGGGAGCTCACTCCGTCGCGGGGATTCGAACCGCCAACCTTCCGACTGGCAAGGCCAAGAGGAATGCAACTCTTCTGTAGCTTATGGTGCTGCATATGTAGCAGAAACTCAGCAAGCTGGCTGTCTGCTGACCCAAATCAAGAACCAAAATCCAGGCAGAGATGGAGAGGGTGCCATCTTGGCTGTGAGTTCTAGAAGACCTGCTCCCTGCCTGGCAGGCTTCTTTCCACTTAGCCAGAGAGAGCAGCGCCCTGATTGACTCCAGCTACAAAAGCTGAGGCCGCTAAGGAGGCCAGCGACCATTCTGGCTGTCTCTTAGTACAGACCCAGGTCACTGAGTCTGAGCTTCCACAGCCGCCAGCCACCATGAAACACCATTGGCAGGACTTGCAGCAACAGCAGCAGATACATTCTTTGCTCATGATAACATTTAATTCTCTTGCTAATTATGCTATTTTAAGTGTGCATTTTATAATTAGCAATGCTTTCAATGCTCAAGGTTTTCTCGGTTCATTTTGCTGTACTGAACTCGCATTCTGCAGTTAACCTCCTTTGTAATGTTTCATTTTGAAATCTTTTGAGATAATATTTTAGTTTCCTTTAGTAGGTTGCTTTGAGTGTATGCTTCATATCTGACTTTCTTCAGCAATGTTTTATTATTCAAGTGAAGTAGACTTATAAATCATTGTGGACTTATAAATCATTAAATGTGTCAATATGAATAGAAGTTATAAATATTGCAGCTGCTGTATAAGGGATTACTACTGTGACTAGAATGTAACTGAAATCAATAAGATTTTGGAACGTAGAGATAAAGGAAATAATCATCAACCATCAATTCTAGCATGTGGGGACCACCTAAATTATGAACTTTGGTATTCAAATGATTGATATTGGAACTGTGTTGTAATTTGGCATTGATATAATGAGGCTATTATTGGATTATTGTAATTGAAAATGAATAAAAATTATTAGCAATGTTTTATTCTGGATCATTTTATCTGAAGTTTTACTATGTTGTAAAAGTCTTTTGAGATATAAAGCAGTATCAAAATGAAATTAGAATGAATGAATGAATAAATAAATAAATAATTGGGTAGCATCTTTCTTTTAAGAACAAAAAAGACCCATTGCTCCTTAAGATGATATTTTCAGGACTGCAGTCCAGACAGAGGATGTGAAAAGTGTCAACACAAAGAACGGCAGAGTCTCCATCCCTCAACCACCTCCCTTCCAGTAGAGAAAAAAAGATCCGCTTACTGGCTTCGCAGAAGGTGCCTTCCCAGCCATCGCTACAAATGCATTTGTAGGAATTGATGCCATCAATACACGTGCCGCCATTCTTACACGGGTTGCTCTCACAATCGTTGATGTCTGCAACAAAATTAAGAGAGATGAAGCACAAAAAAGGAAGTTTAGAAAACTGGGGCTGGATGGAGGAGGTGGGTTAACCATTGAACCCAGAGCTTGCTCCGTCTGGACCCAAACTGCAACCCAGTGCAAAAAAAAAAAAAAGACAAGCGAAAGGAGAAGGCTCCTAAAAAAAAGCAAACTCTCCATACCTTAAAAGGTTCTTTAAAACGGCTCATTAAACGGCTCATAAAACCCCCAAGTGTAAAATTTGCCATCTACTGCCGGAGGCCTTTTGTATGTTTATAAAGTTGGCATTTATTTAAAAAAAACAAAAACCCAAGGTGCACGTTCAAGGCTAAAGGTAAAGGGACCCCTGACCATTAGGTCCAGTCGCGACCGACTCTAGTGTTGCGGCACTCATCTCGCTTTATTGGTCTAGGGAGCCGGCATTTGTCCGCAGACAGCTTCCGGGCCATGTGGCCAGCATGACTAAGCCGCTTCTGGAGAACCAGAGCAGTGCACGGAAACACCGTTTACCTTCCCGCCTGGAGCGGTACCTATTTATCTACTTGCACTTTGACATGCTTTCGAACAGCTAGGTTGGCAGGAGCTGGGACCGAGCAAAGGGAGCTCACCCCGTCGCGGGGATTCGAACCGCCAACCTTCTGATCAGCAAGTCCTAGGCTCTGTGGTTTAACCCACAGCGCCACCCGTGTCCCTACCTAGGAGCCTTTTAAAACGAGCTTCCTTGAGGCCAAGGGAATACTAGCACCGACTGGCCCACCAAGGAGGAAGAAAAGAACTTTGAGCAAAAGTCCCAAAGGGTCCTTGTTGACTGCAGCCAACCCCTGGCTCCCAAGGCCAAACAAGTTGCGGCGTGCCAGGCCTTTACACAGGTGGGGCTGCGGAGAAAGGGAGAGCTGGGTTCACCACAAAAGCAGGGCGAGGAGAAACTTACTTTCATGGCAGTAGGTGCCGGTGAAGCCTTTGCTGCATTCGCAGGTGAACTTGCCTCCCGCCTGGCTCTTGCACTTCCCGTGGGGTCCGCAGACATTGGAAGAGATGTAGCGGACGCCTTCCGGGGTGCTGTTGGACGCCACAGCAACCGTGCAGCTGTCAATGACTGCAGGGGGAAGGAGACACGGACCCAACATGAGCTCTCAAAAGACCCACGCCGTCCCCGGCCTCCTGCGGGTCAAGGGCTTTGTGCTTTCTCTTAAAACAAGCAGGCCATATAAAACAGCGGGGCCAGATTTCTTCGCCAATGGGAGCCACATCCCAGCGGCGGGGGGTGCCCCACTCCCACATGCAAGTATAGGACACACTGGTATGCAACTGCCCCTCTCAGCTAAGCCACAGAGATCAGCTCTTGCCTCCTCCCAACTCAAATTCTTAATATGATGATTGGGGTGGGGGGCCCAGTTGTCTTGTCCCGTGGGCTAGGCAGGGAGGTTTAAACTTCCCCATCTACCCCCCCCCAAGCTGTGTTTACTTCCCCGCCCCCATCTGAACTGTTAAAATTTGTGGGGGTCTTGAAAGGTCTAGGAAAAGTTGATGGGGCTGAGGTTAGCCATCTGAGGTCTAACGCAAGCCTTTTTCACGTACAGGGGTACCTCAGGTTACATACACTTCAGATTACAGACTCCGCTAACCCAGAAATAGTACCTCAGGTTAAGAACTTTGCTTCAGGATGAGAACAGAAATCGCTTGGCGGCAGCGGGAGGCCCCATTAGCTAAAGTGGTACCTCAGGTTAAGAACAGTTTCAGATTAAGAACGGACCTCCAGAATGAATTAAGTTTTAACCCGAGGTACTACTGTACCCAAAAGCCTCAGGGCCACAGCGACTCGTACCAAGGAACCACAATACACCATGATGACACAGCTGAGCCATGCGTGAAAGTCCCGTTCCGAGCCACGCATACAAGCCTTGGCCTAACAAGGGTGACATATAGTGCTGCAAAATTACTCCTTGCCACACCACACCCCCGAAAGCCAACACTCCGCTGTTTTTGGCTTCTGTACAACAGAGCTAGGAACACGGTAGTTAAAAAAGGATACCCTAAAACAGAGTTGGAAAACGGTCTTTGAAGCCACCATCCCTTGTGGACAGTGTTTCAGGGGCCACATACCAAAAGGTGGCTGCAGGAAAGAAAAGGTAACGGACCCCTGGACAGTTAAGTCTGGTCAATGGCGACTATGGGGTTGCGGCGCTCATCTCGTTTTCAGGGCAAGGGAGCCAGCATTTGTCCACAGAACACTGACGGAAACCGGAGCACCTTCCCGCCGCAGTGGTACCTATTTATCTACTTGCACTGGTGTGCTTTCGAACTGCTAGGCTGGAAGGATCTGGGACAGAGCAACGGGAGCTCAGTCACGGGGATTCGAACCGCCGGCCTTCTGATAGGCAACAGCCCAAGAGGCTCAGTGGTTTAGACCACAGCGCCAACCACATCTCTTGGTGGCTGCAGGTGGGCACCCACCATGCAGGGTACGATCACAGATCAAGGACAGAGTCAAGCCAGGTGAAATTCTTACAAGAGGGCCGCCCACCTGAGGTTCCCCACACCTTTGCCTTACAGCAGGGGTTGGGGACCCTTGGCCTCCCAGGTGTCGCTAGACAGCAAATCCCATCATCCTTGAAAACTGGCTGGTGGGATTTGTAGTGCGGAAACACCCAAAGGGCAAAGGTTCCTCACCTCTGCCATATTGGACCATTTGCCCAGTAGCTGCCAGTTCTCTCCAGGATGTCAAAAAAAGGGCGTTTTCCCAGTCCTGACGGAAAGCGTCAGGAATCGAACTCAAGACCTTTAGAAAGCGAAGCATCACATTCCGCCATCCTCCCCGGAAAAATAGCAGGCCACGACATAGCAGACCGGCCAGACGCAACGCCTACCTTCGCAAGGAGTCGAGCGGCAGTGATCCTTGAGGTGCGAGCAGTTCTTTCCCTCGTAATCTTCGGGGCAGTTGCTGCAGAAGTAGTCGTTTTCGTAATTGAAGCACTGCGCCCCGTTCTGGCAAGGGTTGGGCTCGCAATAATCTATGTCCAACTAGAAGGAAAATGGGAGGCAGGGGGGAAAAGAGGCCGCCTTAAGACAAAGGGCTCATTATCATTACCCTTCACACTGCCGCAAGCAGGAAGCGGCTACGGAATCTGAGCTTTTTATTATTATTATTATGATTCCATCGCCTGCGATCACTTGTGTACAGCATACAAAACAACACTTGCCAACTGCAGTAAAACGAAAAGTTAATCAAGGAGGGGGCAAAGGTCTAGCATGCAAGAGTTACTGCAATTTTTAATGGCAATTAACTTTCTCAACACACCAGTCCTGAGAAAGTTTATGAAGGAGTACACACGTGAAATGGATTTTATATTCATGAAAAACAACAGAGGTGCTGTATGTAAGGAAACTATAAATGTCAACTGTGAGAATAGACTAACATCAAGAGAAGGATTAAGAGGAGATTAAAGAGGAAGGAAGCGGTACATGAGGAAGTAATGGACACATGTTTGCAACAGGGAAACCTGATTTGTTTTAGGAAATTGTATTAAATTGAAATAATTTGGGCTGATTTGTAATAACTTGGAAAACATGCACTGCAAATTTTCAATGTACTTTATGGAACCATGGGTTTCTCTGTCCCACAGCTATTAAAAAGAAAAGAGGGAGAGGGGTCCATAGCGCTACTTGGTGAATACAGGTATTCAGGACAGCGGTCGAAGCTTTGGGGCTCTTATCTGGAGCTTGCGTTTCAGCAGCCCTCACCTGACAGACATTTCCAGAGAATCCAGCAGGGCAGAGACACTGGAATCCATTGATTTCATCTTGGCAGTGGCCCCCATTCAAACAAGGGTTGCTTGCACATTCATCGATGTCTCTCTCACAGTGATCCCCTGCATAGCCAAGTGGGCAGGAGCATCGATAACCATTAACCAAGTCCTGAAAAAGGGCACAGAGAGGAAGAAAATAAAGAAAAACAGTCCACAAGACTCTGAAGGAGCAGAAACGACTATTTATGTACGCAACGACAGCAGCACAAATACCACTGCCCAGAGATGGAAAGACGATACAAGTTCCGACCAGCGACGAATGGCTGATGAAGATGATGGACTACGCCGAAATGGCAAAACTGACCAGGAAAACCAGAAACCAGGAAGCGAAGAACTTTAAGGAGGAATGGGGAAAATTTACAATGTACTTAAGAGAGCACTGTAAACAACTAAAAGCATTGGCAGGATTTGAGTAATGCTTGTAATATACGAAAAACTATGGTAAAAATGGGTCATTTGATTTAAAAAATAGATAAAATAAGGGAGGCAGTTGAAAAAAGGGGCAGAGGGAAGTCAAAGGATTCAGGGAATCCTAAACGATGTTTGAATTCAAATTGGTTATGTAAAACTCAATAAAAATATTTATAAAAAAAGAAAAAAATAGCAAATCAGTTCGCTTGGCCAATCAGAAGCATTCAACGCACACAAAAAATGGTTTTGCTTTACATGTGCATAGGATACTGAATAGAGACATAGATTTGCCAGTGGGCGGGATTTAGATTTGAACCCTAGGCTGGAGCCCTGAATGAGAGAGTATTGGTTGCAGAACTGAGCCCAGAATTAGACAGGTCAAAGCACATTGGTCCAGGTTAGCGGCCCCATTCAGACATAAAGCAAAGGGGGACGACACGACTGATTTTTACAGCGAAAGGGCAAGGGGAGATGTACCCCCTGCCCCAGGTCTATTCTCCTAGTACTCTCTGGCTTCTAGCCATTTTCCTCCCTGGCCATTTCATGTGATTTTCAGTGGTGCTAGGGGGAAAGGGAGCTCAAACAATCACATCTTGGTAAAAAGCTGGGGTAGCTTTGGTCCCCTAACTTGGTGCATCTCTCAATGTTAAAAACAAGACACACACAAACCCTGAACACACACTTTGCGTGTTAGCAATAAACACGGCTATTCCCATTACACCTACTTTGACCCTCCACCAGGCTGGGTGGATGGCCATGAGAAAGTCGCCCTCCTCTCAGCCTAGCCTACCTCACCAGACTGTTGGGAGAATAAAAAGGGGAGGGGAATATGCCCTCCCCCCGGAGGAAAGGTGAAGAAAATGAAGCCATTCTGGCAGGTAAGCGGGATGCAAATTAATAACGGAAGATAGTAATTCACAGTATTCCACATGGGGGGGAAACAGTGATTTGACAATATCAATTAATAGAGTTCTATTTTCACTTTGTATCGTGCAAAATAATTTAAGAGATCATCCCATGACACTGCGAGGAAGGCCACACCCTGGTAAGCCTTTGGAGAGCCTACAGTGTGCTTGTTGAGTCTCAAATACACACTCATGTTTGTTTTAAAACCTTCAAGGGATCAGATTGTGAAACCTCCTTGTCTCCTTGCCCTCAAGTCCCAGAAGCTTATTCCGGGAGGAATCAGTGCCACGATATTAGAATTGGTTCTCTGCTATAGCAGTGCTCAAGAAATCTGACTTTCTATGCATTTCAATGCAGACCATGGGTGTAGCGGGGGGAAGCTGCCCCGCCTAAATCAATAAAATACCCAGCTGAGGTTCTGCCCCCCCCCCAAATCCTGGCTACATCCATGATTCAGACCGACCCAATCCACAACTCTCAATCTCAACGTATAGTAAGTTATCTGTCAATTTTTATATGTCACAGTTCTTTGCTGTAGTTCTCAGCTCAGAAACCATTTTAAAAATGTGCATTCCAACAGGGAAAAAAACCCTGTTCATTTCGAAATGCGTATTTTAAAGGCGAACTTTCAACCAGGATTTTCAAGCGCGCAGACCAGCAGATTAAACACAGAAGACAGAATAGGGTGGGTTTCTGGGCAAACGCATTCAAAAGCAACGCAAGACCGATAAGATGCAGCTGGTCCCTATTCTGTAGTACTGATGTCTGTTGAAAACATACATTGCAACCCAATACATTTCTTGGATCAAATCATATACATTTCTACCGAGAGTCAAGTCCTGATGAGATCAATATGCTCCTGCATAATAAGTGAATGGAAGACTTAAAACTTGGTCCCTTCCCATTTAACTACGTTAAGACGAGCCTTGCTGATTCAGGCTACTGGCCCACCCAGCACCCTGTTCTGGCAGTGGCCACCCGTGGGTGCCCATGGGAAGCCTGCAAGCAAGAGGCAAGTCCGACAGCGTTCTCGTCGCTGCGATTCGCAGCCACTGCTCTCCGCAACTAATCTGCAACTTACCCTGCAAGTGCCTCCATTCTGACATTGTCCAATGCAGTCGTCAATATCTGCAAGTCAGAAAATAGCATCAATCACATATGGGAGTAGGCGAGCCTTTAGAAAGGCAGCGCGCATAGGAAAGGCACGAGAAAGAATTCAAGCGGGCTTCGAAACTCTAGGCTAGATAAATCCCTTTGTCCAGCTTCCTGCATGCTTTCCTCCGGATAAGGCCAGGATAATGGGTGGGAACCCCGAGCCATTCTTACAGTGGAGTTAAGCGGAAAACTTCACATCATTGTTTTAAGCCACCTTATCGGCATATAGCCAGTGTCGTGGACTAATGGGTTTGAGAAAAGGGCCTCTTATTCATGCCAGACGGACTACTCCCTTTCTAAAAACATCGGCTGCTGACCACCACCCTTGCCTTTGCTGGCTAATGCCAACGGCTGAGCCTCAAAACTCAGAACACAGGTCACCTCTCACCCGCAGAAACCCAAGCAAAAAAAAGCAGCAGTATCGGGCATACGGAGGAAAAGATGCCTACTTATATCACAATTCTGGCCAGTCCAGCCAGGGACACAGTTGCAATAGTAGTTGCCAATCAAGTTCCTGCAGGAATTGGCATTCAGACAAGGTTTGCCCTCGCATTCGTTGGCATCTGAAAAGAGAAGAGAGGAGGGGGTGCTGTCAAAGGGAGAGACACAGACCACGCTCTCTCGTTTTCACAGCAAACGCAGTTCATTGGAAGACAAAACAGTTCCTTCTCGTTTTTTAAGCTCGCAGGAGTGGATTAGCAAGACTTTAAAAAAAAGACAGAGGCGAGGCAATAGTACTGGGGGACTTTCAGATTTTATTTCCCCAATTATGGTGCGTTGGCAATCACGGAGTCCTTGGCCTTAATTAAGAGCAACTTTTTTAAAATAAAAAAAATACAAAGGGGAAAAAAGAGGGTGGGAGGGAAAGAAAAAAAGGGAGGCAAGGGAGTTGGAGAGTTTCAAAATGATAGAGCATCATCCCCAGTCATTGGGGTTAATACTGTTGGATGAAGAATGCAGACAGCTCATTCTTCATGAGATCATCCACAGCTCGGAATGCAGCTGCAAATTCTCCCTCTCCTCCTCTAGTCTGAAGGAGTTAATGTGAACAGAGGGAGGGGAATCACTTTCCCACCAGGCTGACAGGGAGGTAGGGGGGAGAGAGGTGGGAGAGGCAGCAAAAGGACACCCTGTCTTAAGAAGAAGAAATGTCAGCAGGAGTCATAGGAACACTCATCACAGCAGATCCTGCAAAGATAAGTCTCCAGGCGGATAAGCTCTGCTGCAGCAAAGAGCCTTGTGGAATCTTAAAACTACTTATTTCAGATCCACACCCTACGTTCAAAGCACTCTTACACCAACTTCAAGAGTCAGGGCTTCCCCCTGCTCCCCAAAAAATCCTGAGAACAGCAGTTTGTTTGTTTTTGTTTTTTGTTTTTTTAAAGATATTTATTGAAATTTTGAACAGTAAAACAAACTTCACAATCAAAACAAAAAAAAAGAAAAAACATTATCACAATCAAATAAAAACAGAAGAATACAATAGAAAACATAAAAAGGTAGAAGAAAAAAGACATAAAAAAGACATAAAAATCCAATTTCTTATTGTTTTCATAACCCTCCTTCCTGACTTCCTCACATCTCCCTTTTCTGTGTTCCCTTTTACACAATCGTATTCAGCAGTGCCTTACCCTCTTTCAAATCTTATTCTATATTATACATTTCAACTATTATGTCTCCAATTTTTCCCTTTATATCATTTTGTTTAAATTTGACATGTTATTCTAGCTTTTTCACCCTTATTCTTATAAAACATTTTTTACATATTTTTCAACTATGTCACTAATGCCATATTGTCTTTGTATCCTGCATCATTTTAGCATTCAAACATTTTGCAATGTTTTTGCAAGTAGTCTTTAAATTTCTTCCAGTCCTCTTCCACTAACTCTTCTCCCAGGTCTCGGATTCTGCCAGTCATTTCTGCCAATTCCATGTAGTCTATCACTTGCATCTGCCATTCTTCCAGAGTGGGCAAATCTTGTGTCTTCCAGTGTTTTGCGATGAGTATTCTTGCTGCTGTTGTTGCATACATAAAGAAAGTTCTGTCCTTCTTTGACACCATTTGGCCGACAATGCCCAAGAGGAAGGCCTCTGGTTTCTTAGGGAAGGTATATTTAAATACCTTTTTCAATTCATTATAGATCATTTCCCAGAAAGCCTTGACCTTTGGGCACGTCCACCAAAGGTGAAAGAATGTTCCCTCAGTTTCTTTACATTTCCAACATTTATTATCAGGCAAATGATATACTTTTGCAAGCTTGACTGGGGTCAGTACCACCTATATATCATTTTCATAATATTTTCTTTGAAGGCATTACATGCCGTGAATTTCACACCAAGTGGTCCATAACGTTCCCAGTCAGCAAACATAATATTATGACCAATGTCTTGCGCCCACTTAATCATAGCTGATTTGACCGTTTCATCCTGAGTGTTCCATTTTAACAGCAAGTTATACATTCTTGAAAGTACCTTAGTTTTAGGTTCTAACAATTCTGTTTCTAATTTCGATTTTTCCACCTGGAAGCCTATTTTTTCATCCCTGAGAACAGCAGTTTGTTAAGGGTGCCGAGAGTTGTTAGGAGAGCTACAATTCCCAGCACCCTTAAACTACAGCTCCCAGGATACTTCTGGCTGGGGAAGGCAGGGAAGTACAGTCGTACCTTGGATCCCGAACGCTTCACGGGTCGAGCGTCAAAGTGAGTGTTTGCGAACCTTCTTTGGAACCCAAACGTCTGACGGGGCTTCTGATTGGCTGCAGGAGCTTCCTGCAGCCAATCAGAAGCCGCACTTTGGCTTCCAAAGGTTTTGGAAGTTGAACAAACTTCCAGAATGGATTCCGTTCGACTTCCAAGGTACGACTGCAGTTTGAGAGCAACGTAAATCTGAGCTGCGACCTAAATTTGTGGCATAAGCCTTTGTGGATCACAGTCCCTTTCACCAGATATGTGACATTTCCAAATTAAATAACAGGGGCTTGGCATGAGTGGCAAAGGATCGCTGCAGAAATTACTCAATCAGAAGGTCTGGGCAAGGTTCGCCTAAGGTTCTTCACAAGTTTCTTTGCACATGCATCCAGCTCTCAACAAACACAATCTTGTTGTGTTATGCTACACAGCCACTTCACTGACATACAGCCAGTGTCTCCTGTTATAGAAGCTTTTAGGGGGAATGGAGAAGCAAAGCCATGGAGCCAGGCCAGCGTAGTCACCAAAACAGCTGACGGGAGGAAACTGCAGTCATGGAAAGACATGGGTTCTCTGCACAAATGGTCCTTTGGGGACAATCAGGATGAGGGAAAGAAAATGTGGGAGGCTCTATAGATGCCACACAGAAACATTTACCCACTGTCCCCATACAAGAGCCGCCCAGGGTTATTATTAAGAGCAATAGAGAAGATTGCTGGGATTGAGACACAGAAAGGCAAGAAGAAGCCCAGAGACTCCCGTGCCTCATATGCTCGAGATCACGCATTTGAAACACGCTGGAACAGGCAGTTACACCATTTACGGCAAATGTTAATAATGTCAATTAGAATCCCATGCGCTGAAAGGGAGAGAGATGGAGGGACATCACTGTGATTCTTTAAAAGATCCCAGGTATTCCACTCCCGGCGGAAGCGTCCCCAGTGGCTTCAAAAGCACGGGCTGAGCCTGAATAATGTAAAGGTTGCAGGTTTGAGCCCCATCAGAGACAACTGCATATTCCTGCATTGCAAGGGGTTGTACTAGATGATCCACAGGGTCCCTTCAGTCTCTATGATTCTTATGCACTTCTGCCAACTTCTTCAAAGGGAAAGACGACCCCAACACTCACAAGCCCCACGTTACCCCATTCAATCCCGACACAAACGTTCCTCAGCACAAAGCACGCAGCGACAGGTGTCCCTAAATCTGGAGAAACTTCTCCAATTCCTTATTTCCCCTTCCATTAAATCTACGGTCCAATACTTACCAATCTGACACGTTTTGCCAGTCCACTGAGGCGGGCAAATACATTTAAACCCATCGACCAGATCCTGGCAGGTCCCTCCATGGCCGCAGGGGTTTGGAGAGCAGTCGTCGATATCTACCGAGAGAGATTTCGCTTTAGTATGCGTGTCTCAGCATCATCAAATGCAGCCACACTAGGCACAGGCCAAAAGCCATTGCTATATTCAGAAAAGTGAGACGAACGCTGTAGAGAATGCAGAAGAGCGAGCCACCTCTGACGTTCCAACTCCGAGGAGATTACCCACAAGGGCCTGCAGTACTTGGGGCAGGGGGAAAAGTTTCCCTGACCCTATCCAATATGAAATCATGGCTCCCGCTTTTCATTCTCCTCCCCAACCCACCCTGCAGTTGCAGCTCCAGCAATGCTTACACATTTTGATCATCTGAAATACATTCATGCGCAGATAGGCAGCACTTTCACAACTGAGCAGCCTTTAAAGCAGTATTTCCCAAACTTGGGTCTTCGGTTGTTTTGGGACTACAATTCCCATCATCCCTGACCACTGGTCCCGCTAGCTAGGGATGATGGGAGTTGAAGTGCAAAAACAGCTGGAGACCCAAGTTTGGGAAATGCTTTCGAGAAAAGATGCCAGCGAAGCCATTTTTGCCCTTGCCCTCAAAGAGAGACGACTAGCCCAACAAGGCTATCCACGTAAAATATCCATTTGCGGACGTTCACAAAGGACCATTCAAACTTCCAGATTCGAAGGGCAAGACATTCGGGGTAGCGAACTGGGATTGTCAAAGATCTGGAGGCCCAGAGTGCAAATTTCAAGGAGAGAGCAGAAAGCTGCAGCGTATTACAAGCCCAGGCAGAAATTTCATCGGACCATTAGAAACCACTGAGAAAAGCCAGCACGGCGGTTTGGGTTCGGCAAGGTTCAAAGCTTTTGCAAAGCTGGGAAATTCTTGTCCACTTACTGAGTGTGCAGGTTGGTGCCCCCCAGCCTGGAGCACAGACACACTCAAATCCCGTCGAGGTTTCGAGGCAGCTTCCTCCGTTGTGGCAAGGATCCGAAAGGCAGGCATGTTCCGCTGCAGCAAGAACAGAATCCTCTTCAGCTTGGCCAGTGCCGGTGACACGGAAAACCTCATTTTTAAAAAATCACCTGTCCTACTTTCCCTGTCCCCTCCATCTCTTGGGCTCTGAGCCGGTGGGAAACACAGTGCCTAAAACTCCTGACAGCGGCTAGGTTTAGATGGGAAAAGCATCTATTTGAGGGCTGAGCCATCTGCAGGCCGCTGTCTCCCTTTCCAAGCAAGTAGCTCATACTTGTTTAAGGCAGAGTTGCCTCATCTCATGGCGACTGTATTAAAGGTAAAGGTAAAGGGACCCTTGAACATTAGGTCCAGTTGTGACCGACTCTGGGGTTGCAGCGCTCATCTCGCTTTATTGGCCGAGGGAGCCGGCGTACAGCTTCATGGTCATGTGGCCAGCATGACTAAGCCACTTCTGGTGAACCAGAGCAGTGCACGGAAACGCCGTTTACCTTCCCGCCAGAGCGGTACCTATTTATCTACTTGAACTGGTGTGCTTTCGAGCTGCTAGGTTGGCAGGAGCAGGGACTGAGCAACGGGAGCTCACCCCATCGCGGGGATTCGAACCACCGACCTTCTGATCGGCAAGTCCTAGGCTCTGTGGTTTAACTCACAGCACCACCCGTGTCCCTATTGGCAACTGTATTATCCCCTACCAAACAGAGATAAAACATACCCAGACAGGACACTTTAGGGATGCCCACGAGTCACAATGCAAACCTTTCTCAAGCACAGTAAACTCGTACATGCCAGATATCATTGGCAGACACATCCTGAGGACCTGAACTCGGGGAGGACCACAGCTCAGCGGCAGAACTATGTGTGCCAGCTGTAACTCCAACCTATTCTCCCTCTCTCCAAAACGCACTTGGCCAGATGCAACAATTCAGTCCTAAAGATGTCCTCGCTACTGCTTGCTTCCTGATTTTCGCTCTCTCCTGACCATCTCTCCAGCACAGCCCAGGGCTCGCAGCCCCCAAAAGCAGCCAAACCAACCGAGTGCAGAGATCCTTACCGATTTCACAGTTCTGTCCCGAGTAACCCTCTGGGCAGGAGCACTGGTACTTGTCCGGTCCGGTGTTGCTGCACGTTCCCCCGTTCAAGCAAGGCGGGTGAGTCCCGCAATAGTTGAGATCTGCAAGGGACCGTCCGGAAAAATGAGAAAGGAGCTGTCTTCCGGGAGGGGGTTTGCGGAGCGCTTCGACCGCCGCCCCACAACCGAGCCAGAGGCCGGCGTTACCAAAGGAGAGGGTCCCCCCCCCAGTGGTGCATCCTTGACCCGGAGCTCCCCCCCCTTTGCTGCCTCCCCCAACCTCCATCATGTTTAACTAGCATTTCAAAGCCGCCTCGAGTGTACCTTTATTGCAGAACTGGCCACCCCAGTTGGTTTCGCAGAGGCATTGCCACGGTTCGTTGCAAGTTCCATGGACACAGCCCGGGTGAGGAATGCACTTGTCACAGTACTGACCTTGCCAACCGTACTGACACCTTCAAAGAAAGAAAGGGAGAGGGGAATTAGTCGCTCGAAAAGAAAGAAACAGGGCCGACAAATCCTTATTTATTCATTTAGTTATTTGGGGGGGAATTACAGTGGTACCTCGGGTTAAGTACTTAATTCGTTCTGGAGGTTTGTTCTTAACCGGAAACTGTTCTTAACCTGAAGCACCAATTTAGCTAATGGGGCCTCCTGCTGCCGCCGGAGCATGATTTCTGTTCTTATCCTGAAGCAAAGTTCTTAACCTGAAGCACTATTTCTGGGTTAGCGGAGTCTGTAACCTGAAGCGTATGTAACCCAAGGTACCACTGTACTTGATTTTACAAGTATAAAATTATAACAATACAACCATACACACCCACATTTACAGATTCCTCCACATCTCTGGATTTCTCACTTCCCTTCCATGGTGCCTATTTTTAAACCATTTCTACTGCATCTTTTCCAACAATCTCTATTTTATATAACTCCATTGTCTCCATAGTACTTGCTACATTGCAAGCGTTACTGCAACCCTGCCAATGTTTTCGTTTGCTTAGTGGTCTCCAAAATAAATTATAATTCCCCCCCTCCCCATTCTTTGTTAAAAGTTTTGGTCATCTTGGTTCCTGAGCTTTCCGGTCAGTTTTGTCATTTCGGCATAGCCCGACAGTTTAATTTGCCATTCTTTTCTGGCAGGGACTTTATCTTCTTTCCATCTCTGGGCCAGTGGCACCCATGTACAAATCCTTATTTTTATTTTAAGATTTAAAGAGAAGCCTCCCCCACTCCCTGCTCAAAAAAAAAAAACCAGGAGTATTTGGTGGTTTCTTGTAAACAAACCAAGTTTTTTGTTTCCCCTCCAAGGTCTCTCAAGCCTATTCTCAGAAAAGAATAACTGTTCTGGGAGCCCCAGTATGGTGCCACGGAAGACAATACTGTTCTGAAACTCACACAAATGGGAGGGAAGGGAGAATGGGTGCAGGCACACTATAGATCAATCCCTGGGGTTTGACAAATGAATTAATAAAACAGGGGCAGGGAGGAGAGGAGAGAGGAAGAATGAGCATTCTCCCAAGGATTCTCATGAACACAAGGGCTTAAGGATACTTGAGCAGAAAGAAAAACAAGCCAACCAATATAGAACAGCAAAGTTACTAGAGAATTTCCTCTTGGACCGCAATTCAGTTTGCTTGGGTTTTTTTTTTGTGGGGGGGGGGGGAATCACATGTTTGAATTAGAAGGACAGGAAGCATCTTCTTTCAAGAGAGATATTAATCTGGCAGCAGTCAGAAGATAGTTAAAAGTCCACTGATGTTTCCACTTTGATAACATATAGCTGCATACATAATAAATCAGTTATGTGCTTAAAGAATATCTATATTCATCTGACATTTTTTTCTCCGTCAGATAATTTCAACCTAGCGAACCCAGATCCAAAGCAATTTTTATCCAAAGTTTGGCTCAAGTGCCTGTGTTTATGTTCTGAACGTATTACTTTAAGCTCAAGAAGCCAGGCTGGTGTAACAAAGCAAGAGATGTAATCTGTTATCCGAAAAGCTCCCCTCCTTGAATGCAAACACAGGGCATTAAGGAAAATCTCCAGTTTAAATACATTCCACACTGAGACACTGCCATTTTTATTTGAAGCGGAGAATATGAAGGGGAGGGGTGGAGGTGGGGGAATAGACAAGAAAGGTTGAAAGCATGAAATTGTGGGTTAACTGCAAAGTTCACTTCATTACTGGGACCTGGGAAGAAGTGATCACCGGCAATTACTCGCTAAGCTGGCCCTAACTTATTAAAATAAACCTTTCCATCCAAGCCAGTTGGGCTTTCGGTTTTCAAAAACTCTGCCCAGCAAATCCTTGTCATGGGAAAAGCGATAGGGATCTTTCCAAGGGCTAATTGCTCACAGCGACTTTTAACTCTCCATCTAAAAACCTCAGACAGCAAGCCACTCCCCTAATTAATTTTACAGAACAGGAGAGAGAGAGAGAGAGAGAGAGAGAGAGAGAGCGCAAGCAGTTCAAAGCCTCTGGATATATTCAATAAAAGAGAAATATTAAAATATATCTGTTGGAAGCCCAATTGGCAGAGTCATCTCTGTGGGCAAGACAGAGCAAAGGGGAATGACCCCCCCCCGACCTTTTTGATATGGAAGTCACAAAGAATACAAAAATTATAGATTCTTTTCTCAGTCTGAACTCTGCAAGCATTAAACTGAAGTGTGGACAAGCAGAGAGTCAGTAGTCTTCGCAGTACACCCTGCTCAGAGATGGAGGAGAAATCATTTCTTTACAGCAGGCATGTTCAAAGTCCGGCCCGGGGGCCAAATCCTAAAAACAGCTCAACAACTTTGGGATAGAATCCTAAAATAAGCTCAACAACTTCAATCAAAAAGCTCAACAACTTTGGGGCAAAATCCTAAAAAAGCTCATCAACTTTGGCTGGCCTTCACGCATGTTCACTTCATCATATCTGGCCCTCTTTGAAAAAAAGTTTGGACACCACTGCTTTACAGGGTTTCCAACCCCCCCCCCAAAAAAAATCTACTTTTAAATGCTAGGCACAGCCCATCTTGATAGATCTGCTCCAAAGAAGCAAACGCCAGCCAATTTAAGAAAGCAAGCAAAAAAACCAAACAAAGCAGTGCTAATTTTAGCCCGAAGCATTTATTAAGTCTTTCTGCGTTAACAACATAACACAATCGCATTCTCATGCGGAGAAGCCCGGCTCACATACAGGGCTTCATTTTAATTTTTTTTTAATCGTCTTCTTCTGCTGTGAGTGGCTTCCAAAACGAAATTTGGGGCAGGGGTGGGGAGGGGGAGTCAGACTCTTCTATGCGTTATTGTTTCAGATCTAGCCGGTTTTGAAAATTCTTATTTTTAAACGATCGCATTTGCAACATTAAAGAGACTGTGACTCATTCCCTGACCCCCCCGCCCCAAACTTAATGGAAAAAGAGTTATAATCTTGTTTCTCTCCGGGTCCAAGAATATAATTGAGGCTGGGGTATCAGGAAGGACAGCAACATCGCTGGAGAACTTTGCAAAGGAAGTGTGGGAAAATTGCACCTTAAGTAAATAAGGGCACTAGAGCATGTCTGGGCAGAGAGTGGGAGGTGAGAGACAGAGGAAGGCATGAACTCTGGAAACAAAGCCTGTTGTTCTGGCTAGCGAGGAATGTGGGCAAACCCCATAAGGCACTTTCAGATGGATGACAGAAGCACAAATCTCTGGGAGCTCTGGCTCCAGCTCAGGCAGCAAGCTGGTCTCCGGCCCAGACAAAAATGGGGGCGAACAAAACACTGCAGCCCAACCGAAACACACAACATACACAAACACACAAGCCTCTCCTCTGTTATCAGGGCTGGTCAGATTTTTGCATCGCCCTTATCTGGGAGTGATTCATGTATGTTCTCAAGGGTTGGAAAGGAAGCGGGACCGGGTGCCTTACCAAGTTTGCAGGGGCAAAGCAAATCCCCCATTTTGGAACGGCACGCCGTAAGGGTTCTCATCTCCTTTGGCGTGCTCGAGTTGCGCACACAACATGCGTGCCCCAAACATGCTCCATTTCAAAGCACGTAACCTGAGCTCTGTCGCCTGAGGTGCCATTTGGATTTGGGCAGAGTGCCACAAGCGCAGCAGGGATATGCCAGGGGAGTGGCTGAAACGGGCACAGCTGTCCGAGTGTGGCACAAGATGGGGAGGCTGCCTCCGGAAGTCTCCTATGCTACAGGGAACCATGGACAAACCAGCTTTCTGCCAGCCCCAGAACCGGCGTACAAAAATTGCCTGATCTCCCCAGCTGGGAGAGGGAAATCAAAAATCTGTATGCATTGCCACCAGTGTTTGAACCCATGTGAAGACTGTAATTTTGGTGACAGGGCATGGGGCTACAGCAATCTAGTTTCGGGTGAGGCACACTCACAAGAATGAATGCTACCGGGACGGGCTGGGGACTATGGGGAAAAGGCTTTTTGCATGGAACACACACACATACACACACTGAGGTCCATCGCCGAGGGCCTTCTGGCAGTTCCCTCGCTGCAAGAAGCCAAGTTACAGGGAACTAGGCAGAGGGCCTTCTCGGTAGTGGCACCCTCCCTGTGGAACGCCCTCCCACCAGATGCCAAAGAGAAAAATAACTACCAAACTTTTAGAAGACATCTGAAGGCAGCCCTGTTTAGGGACACTTTTAATGGCTAATAGGTTATTGTATTTTAGTGTTTTGTTGGAAGCCGCCCAGAGTGGCTGGGGAAGCCCAGCCAGATGGGCGGGGTATAAATAAATTATTATTATTTATTATTATTACGTAAGAACACTAGTCCCCTTAGGCCTGCAGACAACCAACCAACACCATATTCGAACATATACACAAGTCAGAGCATTGTTCCAGTTGGGTCATAGAATTGTAAGTGGGGAAGTCCAACCCCCTGTGATGCAGCCAATTCTGGGAGGGCTTGGGTCACCGTCTACCCTGACTGACAGCAGGTCTCTAGAACTTTAGACAGGGAATCCTCTCCCAGCAATACCCGGAGAAGCTGGGGAATGAACCCAAGACCAAGGAGACGCTGTGCTACCAAGCTGTGACGCTGGCACAACCAGAACCCCAGGGATGGGGACACAGGTGCTGCGGAACATGACTGCCGCAACGATGTCTCTCCCTGACCGCCTCTGCTATACGTGAATATTGCGTCTCGTCTGAGCTGTTGCTCGAAACATTCAAACCACCACATCCAGCCACGGGGAGCGGCATGGTCACAGGGGAAGCGCCTCCTCACCCATGCAGGCAAGTGCTCGGACACTGGCAAAAGGAGACGTGCCACCCCAAATACTGCAAAGACTCATGAGCATTTCTTCCGGGCAGAATTGTAGCCTGCAGCAGCATGCACAACCAAGGCACATAACACAGTGGCTTTCAACCAGTGTGCCGTGGCACCCTGGGGTGCTGTGAATGATGGTCAGGGGTGCCGTGGGCATACTGGCCTCTGTCCTTTTCTTCTCTCCCTCCTCTGATGCCCTCTCGCATCTCTGCATGGCTGTTTGTTGCAGCAGCCCTGGCTAAAAGCATCCCAGGTGAACGGTGCCTCTGGGGCTGCCCGGGGGGGGTGCTTCCCTGGCCCCTGTGGGGCAGTCTGAGCAGGCACCGCTCTTTGGGGCAGGCAGGGCAGTTCAGAGACCAGGGGTGGCAGCAGCAGCTGCCCAAAGGACTCCCGAGGAAAGGGGAGAGGAGAGGAGGCTGAGGGAACACTCCACAAGGGACGGTGTTCGAAAAAGGGTGAGGGGCTGCAGGGTCTGCAGGCAAGGGGTGACATAACTGGGCTCCTGAGCCCCACAGAGGTGCCGCAGAAAGAATGTAGAGTGGAACCTCGGGTTAAGTACTTAATTCGTTCCGGAGGTCCGTTCTTAACATGAAGCACCACTTTAGCTAATGGGGCCTCCTGCTGCTGCCACGCCGCCAGAGCACAATTCTGTCCTCATCCTGAAGCAAAGTTCTTAACCCGAGGTAATATTTCTGGGTTAGTGGAGTCTGTAACCTGAAGCGTATGTAACCCGAGGTACCACTGTACCTTGTTTTTTATTCTTATTTACTGATCTGCATCGCTCCTAGGGCTGGACAACTCCCTCCTTCCCACACCCACCGTCCCTAAACCTTCCCCATTTAAGGCTTTGTATTCCATCATACAACACAGGGTGGATCCACCACTCTTGGTCTGTGGAACTCAGCGTCGCAGGACGTAGCAGAGGAAGCAGATGCCGGAACTGGGCTCAACGGACTGGAGAAGCTTGGCCTGGTTTGGTGACAGCCCACGTTTCTGTGTCCAGTTCTGTGTCCAGCAAAGTGGGGAAACCAACCCCTGGGAATTAAATTCTACCCTGTGGGATCTGTGACACCATAGCAGGCTGCATGAGCTAAGAAGGTTGATGCTTATGCAAGAGACAGATAATTACGCTGGCCTTAAAAAATAAAAATAAAGCAGTGGCCTTATACAAACAAGGATTACATAACCCCAACATCATCCAGAAACCCTACCTGGATATGAAAGCGAAAACCAATTATTAGAAATGCATGCAAATGAGATTCTTGGCTTTCTAGTGGGATCCCTTATACTGTCTGGCTATATACAAGCTCTGCCTCTCTCTCCCTCCCTTTCTCCTTGTCTGCTGGCCAAAAGAGAAGAGATTTCAACTTCAAAAGACTACGGCAAAAGACTCTGCCTTCATCGGTATCTACGGACAAGATTCCATCCAAGCTATTAACCTCTCATCACTCCCAAGTCTGGCTCCCAAGACCAGAGGAACCAAGAGCTGCATTAATCCTATTCTAAAGAATGCTCAACTTTTGCCTTTTTTATGGGGGACAAAGTTGAGGGAATGGGGAGGGAGGGATGAAAGCATATAATGTAATTAAACACACTATAGAGGAAAATGCCTCGATCAGCAGATTTTGCACACAGGGGGAAAAAATGTTTGCGAAGAATTTCGGCCGCAGCTCCTTGCGAAACATCCACAAATGCATTTGTCCTCTCGCCTCCATGCCCAACACGGACAGATTGCTGGGCATTTTGAGCGAGGGAAACGTTTCACCTCACTGACGCCGGGAATGGAGAACACGCAATTAAACATTTCATAATGCAGCGGGAAGAAGGGGGTAGCGTTTCTTTCTTCCTCCCTCCTTCTCCCCGGCTAGACAGCCCCCTGTTTAATTTGAAAAGTTACGATTGCTTAGCCAAAGGAAGATTTGTTTAGTTTACCTGCACTCTCCGGGAATTTTGCAAGAACCGTGTTTGGGGCTGCAGCCCTGACGACAGATGGCTGTGGAGAGAAGAAGGGGGGATTAGAAGGGTGTGTTTGGGGTCCCCCCTCCCTGAACAGCACAAGAGAACCTTTCCCTGGACTCTTGCCCCTCGTGGGAACGTTTTAATCTCCCGCTACTACTGTAATCCTACCAAATCCAAGGTTTAAACAGGTCCCTTGGATCAAGTCTACTGGAAGAGAAACTAGGGTAGGTAATGTCTCATGACAGCAACTCCATCATCCCTGGAGCAGAAATTTAAGTCCCGTTTTCAAAAGCCTCCCCTGATGTGCGGAACACTCTCTTTCCAACATATACATTATAAGTCTCCACGTTTTCTCAGGAGAGAGTCCATTCCCTTTCAAAAGAGCCAAAATGTTCTACACAGATCTCCACCCCTACTTCTCATCATTGCAAACCGATTTGCGTTTGAAAGTGAAAAGGCACAGCCCCACAGCTGAGTATTATTTAGGATGCAGGCTCATAACCGAAAAAGAACCTTTCTCTTGAAGCTTCACTATCAGAAAAGAAACCTTGCTTCTTCATACTATGAAACGTATCTGATTTACTGTCATGTAGCTGCCTTATACCAGGGGTGGGAAATTTGTGGCCCTAGGGATACTGTTGGGACTACAGATCCCATCAGCCCCTGCTGCATGGGCCAGGGATGATGGGAGTTCTTCTGCTGGGCCTCCATTCTTACCTGCATCTTGTTTCCAATTTTGACTGGCAGAAGGTAGATGACTACTAAGCTACATGGACCAGTTGCCTGACTCAGTAGAAGATGGATTCCTCTGTTCAAGCACAACACCAAATACAACACCAAATACTTCCATCTCAGCCTCCGCCATTCAAAAACCTTATATTGAACCACGAAATCAGTTTTTCTTGAACCTGGGGGTCTCCAGCTGTTTTTGAACTACAACTCCCATAATCCCTGACCGCTGGTTTTCTACTAGCTAGGAATGATGGGAGCTGTAGCCCAGCAAAAGCCAGAGACCCAAGTTTGAGAAACACTGCACTAAATTGAGGTTGCAGGACCCATTATCATGAATCGTTAAACGAGGCCTAAGAACCCCCCAACTTTGCTTGGGATGGTGCGAGACTCTCGGTTAAATAGCTGACCTGTTTGCTCTAAGCTTGCCTGAAATTAAAGGGAACAGAAATTATCTTTGGTGCTCCCTGACTTCTAAAGCCACACAATACCCAGGGAACGTAACACGGGCATCACAAACCTTTGTCACAGTCCAGACCCATCCAGCCTTCCAAGCACGTTTTGTTGCCGTTCTGATCGCAGGTATAGTGCCCAAAAAAGTCATCTCTCGGCCGGCAAAACTTGTTGCAGCCAAAGCCATAGTAGTGCTCGTCGCAAGTGACCCGGATCTGATATTCGAAGTGAGCCACACCTGCGTTCTGCTTCAATATCTGCCACTGGCGGCTCGGGTTGATCATCCCAGAGTGAGATGCCTTTTCGATGATGCTGTCGGCGTCTTAAGGGAGGAAGAAAACAGAAATCAGAAGGGAAAGAGCAGCCTGCGGGTCTCTGTTGCGGCGCTCCTTTTCATATAAATGGACCCACCCCCAAAGAAGAATCAGCGAGGTTAAGCCAGGAGACACAGAAATATCCCCACCAAAGTGAAGCACAGCTGAGAAGCCTGGAGAAATGATTTTCCTTCAAAGCTCAGGGCTGATTCACCCACATGTCCCCCCCATGGATGCCAGTACAGTTGTACCTTGAATCCCAAACCCCTTGGTACTCAGACGTTTGGCTCCTGAACGCTGCAAACCTGGAAGCGAGTGCCCTGGTCTGCGAATGTTCTTTGGAACCCGAACGTCTGATGGGGCTTCCACAGCTTCCGATTGGCTGCAGGAGCTTCCTGCAGCCAATCAGAAGCCGCACTTTGGTTTCGAAACGTTTTGGAAGTCGAACGGACTTCCGGAACAGATTCCATTCGACCTCCAAGGTACAACTGTACATACATTTTCTTCTACACAAAATAGGGATCCACAACCCTGTGCAACAAGCACACACATGCACACACCTTGCATGGTTTCTGCACACGGCAGCAACTGAAACTCTTGTCGGCTGGTGAGTGTTTATGCAGATGGGCAAGCACTAAGCGTTGCCTCATTTACCCAACATCGCCAAAACCACTACGAGGACTATTTACACAAGATTAATCTGACTGTGGGATAGCACTTATTAATATTTAAACTCCACATTATCATCTGTCTTGAAGATTTAGGCACCGCTATCAAAGTAAGATGCAGGCCTTGCCTGAAGGCATAACAATCTAATGAGTGGAGGATATTAAACGTTTCATCTTTTTAAACATACTTCCTTTTCCCCCCCTTTTACTAGCTATGCCAATTCCCATTATGCGCACGCAGACTGAAGCCGTAAGCACATAGGAAGCTGCCCTTATCTTCTTCTTCTTTGGCGATCGCTTGTAGCCGAGTAAGATTGTCTTCCATGAACACAGTTTTAACAGTGAGTTCTTAAGTGACTGCGGAAGCCAATTCTGGATCCACATGTTCTTCCACAGTGGGAACATAGGTTTCGGGGCAGGAGTTGATCACAGTGTGGATTTGCCAAGCGTGCCTTCCTCTTAGGACATTTCGTCCTGAGTTCGAGAGTCTTCAAAGCCCATGACACCTTTGGTAAAGGCTGTTCTCCAATTGGAGCACTTGCAGGCCAGTGTTTCCCAGTTGTCAGTGTTCATGCTACATTTTTTTAGATTTGCCCTGAGAGTGTTTAAACCTCTTTTGTTGACCACCAGCATTACGCTTTCCATTCTTGAGTTCGGAATAAAGTAATGCTTTGGAAGACGATAATCAGGCATCCGAACATGACCAGTCCAACAAAATGTTGAAGAATCATTGCTTTGACACTGGTGATCTTTGCTTCTACCAGTACACTGGCATTAGTTCACCTGTCTTCCCAGCTGATGTGCAAAAATTTTTGGAGACACCATTGATGGTATCTTTCGAGGAGCTGGAGATGGCATTTATGAGTGGTCCACATTTCACAAGTCTATTTAGCCCTGAACTGTATCCACAGAGGCTGGTTGTGGCTCTCTCATATGGGGTGGGCAATATATTGTCCAAAACCAGTTTGAAGTCCATATTGTGATATCGGTTTCATACTTTTTGACCTGGCAATATATTGCGTGCGCCATACAAAAATCTCAACGTGGGTAAAAATGTGAAGTCAGCCACTCAATGCCTCTACATAACTCCATCCTTACTTCAGACATCACGATATATTGTTGTATCGCGGTGTTCGGCTGGTGATTTATCGCGATGTCAAAAACCAGATATTGCCCAGTCCTACACTAAGATGCCAAGAAATGCTCGCTTAAAAATCTCTAAGCCAGAGCACCGATGCAAAGCCCAAGAGAAAAATGGCTTCTTCACAACCAGAGGAAGGCTAAAGGCAGGAGAGGCTGTACTCTGCACCAACAAGAATGCAAAACTCTCTGCTTGCTAATGCCCTGAACTTTGTTCTGATTATTCACCCATCTGCAAGATATCGTTTCACATCTGACTTATAAACGCCCTCAGGCCAACTACAGTAGAAGTGTTGCAAAACCCTATTTGCTCTGGGCAAGATTCATGCTAGAGATTTCCTGCCAGGCAGGTATAAGCTGGAAACACTTTCCCTTCTGAGCCAAGCGGTGACATTGGCACTCCACTTTCAGAAGTTCACCTGGTTTTCAGGTTTTCTCTGCCCCCACCCTCTGCGAAAGCAAGCCGTCGTGTTAAATTACCCCCTCCTTTTTAGTCCTAGTAGCCAGGGCTCAAAATTCTTTTTATCACTCTGGACAAGGAAGCAAATATTCCCCTGGAATCTCCTTCAAAGACTCTCTGGTTCTAGGACGGCCTCCCAGACTTTTCAAGAAAACCTAAAACAGCTACGCAACAGATCAGCAAAAACCCTAATATTTCACACGTGCCTGGGACCTGGTACGTATCTGTGGTATTTCGCTTGCTAGCCCAGCCTCGAGACTTCAATGATCTGACAGCACCTTACAACCTGCTGGACTGCAGACCGAAAATCTATCATAAAACAGCCAAGAGCTGCCTCTGTAGACTAAGGGAGGGAGAAGGGAAAGATAAGAGGTGGAAAGCATCCATGCTAGCTGGCAACATTGCTTAGGTATAAAGTAAGGTGGCAGCAGGGCAGTATCCAAAATATTAAACAAAATGAGGAATGCCCATGAAGTCAAGTTTCCCCCATGACTCAGAAGAACTAGGGCTGTTGTTCTTGTTTACTACTCCATAAGTCTGTGGTGGCTTTCCAGCATCCCAAAGCCAGGATCGTTCCCAGCTTCATAGCTGTCAACTTTTCCCTTTTCTTGCGAGGAATCCTATTCGGAATAAGGGAATTTCCTTTTTTAAAAAAGGGAAAGTTGACAGCTATGCCCAGCTTGGCTAGCTGAGAACCTTTCGATAGGACGAGGTGTCAGCAGCAAGATCTGAACCCAGAGCCTTTTAAATGTAAACCATCACCCAGACAATCTCTGTTTCAAGAAGCAGGGCAGTGGGGGAGAGCAGAGCCCCGAAGTGTCTCTATTTTCCAGGGACAGCCCCAGATTTACAGAAGCCATCCCAGTTTCCGATATCTCCCACTTTTCCTTAAAGGTAAAGGGACCCCTGACCATTAGGTCCAGCTGTGGCCGACTCTGGGGTTGTGGTGCTCATCTCGCTTTATTGGCCGAGGGAGCCAGCGTACAGCTTCCGGGTCATATGGCCAGCATGACTAAGCCGCTTCTGGCGAACCAGAGCAGCGCACGGAAACGCCGTTTACCTTCCCGCCGGAGCGGTACCTATTTATCTACTTGCGCTTTGACTTGCTTTCAAACTGCTAGGTTGGCAGGAGCAGGGACTGAGCCACAAGAGCTCACCCCGTCGTGGGGATTCGAACCACCGACCTTCTGATCGGCAAGTCTTAGGCTCCGTGGTTTAACCCACAGCGCCACCCACGTCCCTCCCGCTTTTCCTTAGGACGTCCCTATTTTCATCGGAGAAATGTTGAAAGGTATGGGAGAGGAAAAGGGGAGTAGATACTATACATCCACTTTTCAAAAAAGGATCGTTTGGGATAGGACACTCTTTTACTTAAGATACTTCTATGCCAGCCTTCAAAATAAATTCCATCGGTTTACAACAACAACAATATATGAAATCATTTGTCTTGCTTGCCCTCCAGCTTCCAGGGAAAGGATCTGTATGCTGGTGCAAACCACCATGCAAGACATAAATGGTCGTCCCCGTCCGTCCCCCCCCCCCGACTCTCGAATTAGCACCAGTCACAGGCTATTTGCAAACCCAGCATGAAATAAGTACTATGCACTTGCAGCCAGCACCAGGCCTTGTGTTCCAGCTCCTGCTGTCAACCAAAGGCCACTGCTGACTCTTCTGGGGTCGGGCCAGAGAGCCCCCATGTTCCTGCATTCAATCCCTGCCATCTCCTGGTAGCACTGGAGAATCCCCTGTCTGAACCGGAGAGCTACTGCCAGCCAGTGCTGACAAATACTGAGCTAGGCAGAACCAATGGCCTGACTCAAAATACTCATTAGCAAAGGTTAAAAGATAAAGGACCCCTGGACGGTTAAGCCCAGTCAAAGGCGACTATGGGGTTGCGGCGCTCATCTCGCTTTCAGGCTAAGGGAGCCGGCGTTTGTCCACAGATAGCTTTCCGGGTCATGTGGCCAGCATGATTAAACTGCTTCTGGCACAACGGGACACTGTGAAGGAAACCAGAGTGCACTGCAATGCCGTTTACCTTCCTGCCGGAGTGGTACTTATTTATCTACTCACACTGGCGTGCTTTCGAATTGCTAGGATGGCAGGAGCTTGGATAGAGCAACGGGAGCTCACTCCGTCATGGGGATTCGAACTGCCGACCTTCTGATTGGCAAGCCCAAGAGGCTCAGTGGTTCAGACCACAGCGCCACCCACGTCCACACTCATACGGACCAGTTCACACCGATGCTTCTTCGCACAATTCTCTGCCCAGGGAAAGCTAAGTGGGATCATGCGGCGTCACAGAGAAAAGTGACTCCTGAGATGTGGCATTACTGGCCAGTTATTAGCAACCACACAGGGGGAAGCAGCAACAACAACCACCACCAAGGACACTCTCGTAAGCAGCTTTGGTAGGATTTTCCACATATTCCTCGCTCCCTCTCCCCGCTTGGCAGCGTGCACGAAACCAAAAGGAAATTAGTTCAGAGTTGTACAAACCTGCCATTACCGGGCCGCAAGGATGGAAGGTTAAGGACTGGCAATCCCATGGCGGCAGACAGTGCAAAGAGTCAAGTCAGCCAGCCAGCCTGGAGAGAAAGCGATCCTTACAGTTCTCATTGTTCCGCACACAGGAATCATATGATTTGAATCAAAGGGGTGAAAAAGGAGGAACTGCAGCAATTAGGAACTGAATGAAGGGGGCGGGGGAAGGATTTACATTCCCAGGAATACGCTTTTG